GGATTTACAGAAAGGGTGCAATAATTGAACAAAATTAGGTGCATAAATGTGGGCACCACAAAAATAAATGAGCTCAATATTTAGTAGATCCTCCTTTTGCAGAAATAACTCTAAATGCCTCCTACAGTTTCCAGTGAGAGTCTGGATTCTGGTTGAAGGTATGTTGGACCATTCTTCTTTACAAAACATCTCTAGTTCGTTCAGGTTTGATGCTTCTGAGCATGGACAGCTCTCTCTAACTCACACCACAGATTTTCAATAATACTCAGGTCTGGTGACTGAGACGGCCGTTCCAGAACGTTCTACTTGTTCCTCTGCATGAAGGCCTCTGTAGATGTTTATCAGTGTTTAGGGTGGTTGTCTTGTGAGATCCAGCCCCGGTGCAGCTTCAGCTTTGCCACTGATTCCTGGACAATGGTCTCCAGAATCTGCTGATATTGAGTGGAATCCATGCGTCCCTCAGCTTTAACCAGATTCCCAGTCCCTGCACTGGCCACACAGCCCACAGCATGATGCAACCACCACCATGCTTTACTGTAGGTAGCAGGTGTTTTTCTTGGAATGCTGTTATTTTGCCTCCATGCATAACGCTCCTTGTTCTGCCCAAATAACTCAGTTTAAGTTTCATCAGTCCACAGCACCGAATCCCAGAATGAAGCTGGCTTGTCCAGATGTGCTTCAGCAAACCTCAAGCAGCTGTTTGTGCTGTGGGTGGAGAAAAGGCTTCCTCTGCATCACTCCCACATGCAGCATCTCCTTGTGTAAAGTGCGCTGAATAGCTGAACGATGCACAGTGACTCCGTCTGCAGCAACATGATGTTGTAGGTCTTTGTTGCTGGTCTGTGGGTGACTCTGACTGTTCTACCATTCTTCGCTGCTGTTCATCTGAGATGTTTCTTGGTCTGCCACTTGGAGCCTTAACTTGAACTGTGTCTTCCACTTCCTCAACATGTTCCTAACTGTGGAAACAGACAGCTGAAATCTCTGAGACAGCTTCCTGTTTCCTTCCCCTAAACCACGATGGTGAACCGTCTTTGTTTTCAGCTCACGTGAGAGTTGTTCTGAGTCGCCCATGCTGCTGCTCTTCAGAGAATATTCAAAGAGGAGGGAAACCTACAATTGTCCCCCTTTAATGCTCTTTCTCATAAACTGATTCAACTGTCTATAAAGGTCAAGGGTCACTGAGCTTACCAAACCTATTATGAGTTCCAATAATTCGTTCTAAAGGTTTTGGAGTCAATAAAATGACTTTATAAAATGCCTAATTCTGTTTAACCCATATTTGCACACTTTCTTTAAGTCCTATAAACTTTGTTTCACACGTGTCTCCTTTATGACGTGTTTAACTGAAACATTTTATTATACAGTGCAGCAGTATAATACAGCAGCACTGTATTGTGGAAAAGATCCAAATATTGGCCATCGGCTGACCAGGACCCTCTGATTTGGACACGGTTTCTCTAAACTGTAATTAACAGTAACCACTCCTTTTGTTCTGATGCATGCCAAACATGTCAAATATCAAATATATCACTGACTCATCTTCTGAGTTCGTGTCTTGAAGCTGTTCATCATCAAGATGCATTTCCCATAACATTCCAGCACATCGACTCGTGGGGATTTCACTGCTCGTGACAAACATTTCAAATGAGTGTCGTAACTCGGTTGGTCCGGCTGAACCTGCTCAGGTTGCCGCTTTGGTAGGAAATGCTGAACAGTGATGTCAGAGCGAGAAAATCTGGAACAGCTTCAGTTTCTGCCAGCTCAATGCAAATGTGAAATTGTTGCCACGCCGACTCTAGACAACCGATCTCATTTGACTAATGATACAACCCGAGGCTAGCTATCAGGGCAGCAGTAGCTCAACAGGCTGAGCGGGTCGTCCAGTATTCGGAAGGTTGCAGGTTCGATCCTGGCTGGTCGGAGGGACCGGTGGCACCTGAAACCCTCAGCCTCGCCTCTGTCAGTCAATGTGTGTGTGTGAATGGATGAATGATACACTGTAGTGTAAAGCACTTTGGAGTCCTTACTCTGAGAGGGGCCATACAAGAGCGGGTCATTTATCATTCATCACAGCCCAGAGCAAAAGGAACGTGTTTGTCTTTATGCATCAGCACTTTTCACCAACATCTTATCACCATCACGTTTTACCAGATAGTTGACCCTGCTTGCAGCTTTCTGTCGGTCAGAGGGCGGATCCACTGTGCACAGCGATGGTGCTGAAGCAAGCCTGGGACCACAGTGAACTCACCGGTTGGCTTAATCTCTGCTCCACCTACCTGACTCTCTGCATTCACACCTAGGCAGAGACACCAGGCTCATTCACCATGAACAGCTCTGTGGCGAGTGAACAGCTGCCGAGAATTCAGTGAATCAGGAAAAGTCCGTTGAAGTCAGGTAAGAAAACAAAACCCAATTTCTACTTTTTAATTCAGTTCACTAAAAGCAGTTTTGATACGAATGTTTTTGAAAAATGTATTTGTATGCACCTTCTGTACTTGTCCTGTCTAGGCATTATAATACTGCCACCGCCGTGTTTGATAGAAGTCTTTGGAGTAATCACAGTGTAACTAAACACATAAGCACCCAGTTAAAAAACATTTATGATTTAATATTTCTTCATTTGGACATTTTTTATCTCCCCACAGTAAAAATACCAACCACATTGAAAACACATTTTTGGGATTACAAAAAAGTTTTAAGAAAGTTTTTTCTATCGAAGTTCGTTTATAAAGAGCTTTACAAAGTGGCTTACATTAAAAACAACACCAAAGACATCACAAAGCGACATTAGACCATGAAACATTTAATGAAAATGTAACGTAAACGCGACCGCCAAACCAGACGCTGGTTCTCTCGGTGTTGTAGTTCCTCTGCAAACTAAAACCCCTTTTATTTGTTTTCAGCTGAATGGCGAGACGCTGCTGCCGCTTGCGTCGTCTGCTGATCTGCTTGTGTACGCCGTTCTTCTTGGTGATCTCTCTGTACATCTTTCTCGCTGTCAAGATAACCATGGACATGCAGAGCATGAGCACTCAACAGGCGGTCGTCCACCCAACCCAGGAAAAGCCTTTTTTTGTGGCAACTGGTATTTTAAACACTGACAGAAATCACTTAGTCCCCAAAAGTTTCTGGGGTGAAAACCTGCAAATGAACGGCCTTTGGAACAAGCTCCAGCAATGCGCTGACAACCATTTCAACGGCATTCTCTACCCCAAAAAAGCCAAGGATGTATCAAAAAGGGAAATATTTGATGATAACTTATTGGAGCAAACTTTCACTCACATAATTAGCAGGGAAAAAAGGAACAACTCTGAGAAGCTACCAGATGAGATGCAGGATTTTATAAATAACATGCTAAAGAGGGACTATCCGATACTCATCCAGCCAAATGGAATGTGTGGAGCTCAAGCGAAGCGTGAAATAGCGCCCCCTCTGATTCTCCTGGCCATCAAGACAACAGAACTGAACTTTAAGAACAGACAAGCCATTAGAAGGACTTGGGGACGGGCTGGATGGGTGAAGGGACAGAGGATTAACAGCAGCGATGAAGAGCCAGCTGGAGGATACGTCCGAAGGGTGTTCTTACTTGGCAGAGAAAGCTCAGCTGAAATGGGCATAGACCTGTCTGAAGTCCTGAGGAGAGAGAATAAACTGTATGGAGACATTCTGCAGTGGGACTTCAGCGACACGTTTTTCAACCTCACTCTGAAGGACGTGCTCTTCTGGAGCTGGTTCTCCCAACACTGCGGTCAGGCCGTCTTCGTTTTGAAGGGAGACGACGACGTCCTTGTCAACACCCCAAAGCTGATCACCTACCTCCACCAGCAGCTGAATAAGTCGCAAAACAACAATTTAGAAGAATTTATGGTTGGAGACGTGATTGAAGCCGGCCACCCCAACCGAGAGCTGACGTCCAAGTACTTTATCCCTGAGAGCTTCTACAAGGGGCTCTACCCCACGTACGCAGGCGGAGGAGGAGTGGTGTACTCCGGCCTGTTGGCCCGACGCCTACACAACGTGTCTAAAGCTGTTCACCTGTTCCCCATTGATGATGTGTACGTAGGAATGTGCATGAGACGACTTAACATCCACCCCCTCCACCACTCTGCCTTCCTCACGCTGAGCTTTCTGGAAGAAGAAGAGCAGTGTGCATACCACTCCATCCTGTTGGTCCACAAACGCAGCCCTAAACAGCTAGTTAAGTTGTGGGCCGACATGAAGAAGACACAAAAACAATGTGAAGACGTTCCTCTGAGGGCTGCGGAGAAAGAAGAAGAATAAAACGTAGAGAACCTCCTGAAACCCGACCGTGACCGAGGTTTAACGGCAGCGTTTGACCTGATCTCAGAGCTAGGTCAGTGATGCTGCAGTAGTGCCACCTCTGTGTTGTCCGCTTTTACGATTTCATCACTGCGGAAAGATGTTCATCAGCACAGTAATAGCAATGCAACAACACACCCGTCTGGAGAGGATTACAGGACCTTAGCAGACTGGGCCCTACTTTTCCTGTACAAACGCGTTTCTTGTAGACATTTTAGTAACAGGCGTGTTTATTAGACTGCCGCACATTTATCGTTGCAGCTACAGAAGACTGAGCTCAGTTGTCCTCCTCGTACTCTGATCTTCATTTGTCACTGGAGCAATGATAAACTGAGTTCCAGTTAGTGGATGCGGGTTTTCAGGAAGATGGAAACCCAGAAAAATCCCCGTTATTCAGCCACACCGACGATCTGCTTCGTTTTGGCTCGTTGGACTCATGTTTACAGCTGGGTCTGAGACTTCACCGAGCCACTTGTGTTATAACTGAAATGAAGAAACCGTTCGTGTTCAGTTGAGTCAGCTATAACTGGGTTGTGTGGAAGTTAGTTTGTGGAAACCATGAAACTGTTACTCCTGAGATCTGCTCGAAGCTTGGGAGATATTTAAAAAATGACTTATTTAAAAAAAACACTCTACCCCGACCTTAGGGCCTGACGCTCTGTTCTTTTTATTCAGCTTTTTATTTAATTTTGTGTTATGTTCTTTTGGATTTGACTCCTTTTATTATCCTTGTTTCTGTGCTGTTTGTCTCTGATTTGATTATTTTGACATTTGCTAAGCGGCACTTTGGTGCAGCTCTGACTTGTTACTGTAACGGTTTTACTGTTGTCAGCTGGCCTAAATGGCAATGTTTTATACTATTTATTAATAAAATAACCTGACAGTAATGACTGTGTTCATTTTGCCTTTTTAAAACCATTTTTTGATGTTTGCAAGAGGGAAAAAAGCATTTGGCTTCGCATCACGAGTCACTTAAAGGTGTCTGACTGGAGTAAGACGGCCTCATAAATGTGTTGTAAGAGTGACGAGTTTTTCCTGATCTAGCAATAACAACACACACACACACACACACACACACACACACAGTTCTAGTCTTGACCTTTAGCAGCCTAACCCTGTGATGCATGAATTATGAAATCTTCAACCATGATTTTTTAACAGCTTTTTCATTCATATTTGGGTGTGAATGAAACAAATTTCAACAAATATTTTTTGTAAAATTTTATAATTTACAAATAATTTATTACATGTCCACTTCAGTGGACAGCGTGCGTTCTGATCATGAAATATGTTGGCTTGACTCACTGAAGTCCAAATGGAGGGGCTCAAATGCAATAAAGTCTTCAACAGCTGTGCTTAATAGCAAAAATAAATAAATAACATTTTTGAGTAACTGTCCACTGTGGTGACCGTTATGCATCAAAGGGCTAAAGTAAGCAAGTGGTGGTACAGTTGTTAGCACTGTTGCCTTGCAGCAAGAAGGTTGCAGGTTCAATACCCGGCTGCAGCCTTTCTGCGTGGAGTTGCGTGTTCTCCCCATGCATGCGTGGGTTTCCCCCACAGATCACAACATGCCCTACAGGTTAACAGTTGTACGTCGCTTTGGATAAAAGCGTCTGCCAAACAAACAAACATGAGTAAAGCTTTTGTTGTCATCCCATCCAGATGAAGCATCGTCCTCCAAAACCCCGGCTGCAAACGGTTGGGCAGCCTTGTTAATCTTCGTGATTTTCCTGTATGATTGGTTGTTGTGATTTAAAAATTCTGTTAAATACATCATACAGGACACACACACACACACACACACACACGTGTAACAAAGTTTATAGGATTCACAGAAAGGGTGCAATAATTTTTTAAACAAAATTAGGCAGGTGGATAAATGTGGGCACTGTTGTAATTTTACTGATCCCAAAACCTTTAGAATTAATTACTGGAACTCAAAAGTGGTTTGGTAAGCTCAGTGACCCTTGACCTCTATACTTAGGTGTATATAGTTATGAGAAAGAGGATTTAAGAGGGACAATTGTAAGTTTCCCTCCTCTTTGAAGAGCAGCAGCATGGGCGACTCAGAACAACTCTCACGTGAGCTGAAAACAAAGATGGTTCACCATCGTGGTTTAGGGGAAGGAAACAGGAAGCTGTCTCAGAGATTTCAGCTGTCTGTTTCCACAGTTAGGAACATGTTGAGGAAGTGGAAGACACAGTTCAAGTTAAGGCTCCAAGTGGCAGACCAAGAAACATCTCTGGTAAACAGAGGTGAAGAATGGTAGAACAATCAGAGTCACCCACAGACCATCACCAAAGGCCTACAACATCATGTTGCTGCAGACGGATTCACTGTGCATCGTTCAGCTATACAGCGCACTTTACACAAGGAGATGCTGCATGTGGGAGTGATGCAGAGGAAGCCTTTTCTCCACTTTTCTCTTAAACTGAGTTATTTGGGCAGAACAAGGAGCGTTATGCATGGAGGAAAAAGAACAGCATTCCAAGAAAAACACCTGCTACCTACAGTAAAGCATGGTGGTGGTTGCATCATGCTGTGGGCTGTGTGGCCAGTGCAGGGACTGGGAATCTGGTTAAAGCTGAGGGACGCATGGATTCCACTCAATATCAGCAGATTCTGGAGACCAATGTCCAGGAATCAGTGGCAAAGCTGAAGCTGCACCGGGGCTGGATCTTACAAGACAACCACCCTAAACCAGTTTTATATGAAGTAAAAGTTACAGCAAGTCCACCCACCAAAATGGTCCTGTTGGTGATTTTTGACATTCCTGACGGTTGTTTTTACTTCAGCGTGTTATTCCATGACGGGCTCCGTGAGTTCACCTCATAGGTTCTTTTCACTCATGAAACATCAGCGCCTTCTTTGTTGAAGCCCAACGGTCTGACACCAAGCCCACACCCAGCTGTTGCACCAGAGAGACGAGAACGAGACGCTTCCAAAACGGTTTTTATTACAAAATGACAAAAACACTGAACTTCAGGCTTAGTGTTATAGGAAACATTTGTAAATATTTAAATTCAACACATGCATCACTCCGTTTAAAAACGAGAAACCGTCGTTCTAATGAAAATATTTTGAAAGGGTTTGGTTTCTCCCAACACCTATCTGAAGGCAGGCGGGCAGCACTGGCAGCACGCAGCTTCCAAGTACTCCTGCTAACAAATCCAGAACCTTGTTCAACACTTTCCAGTTGAACTGGCCCAACAGGCGTTTGGAATGTTCAGCATCGCAGCAAGGATTTAGGCGAGTGAATGGTCATTGTGTCACCGTATAGTGAAGCTCCTTCTAGATGAAAAGAAATGTTTGAATAAGACTTAGAAAGTACCGTATTTTCACGACCATAGGGCACACCGTGTCATAGGGTGCAGCTTCAGTTGTCTTCTTGGTATGTGACACTTACAAAAGGTGCACCGGGTTATAGGGCGCGGTTAAACGTCTGAGCGGGCTCGGGACTCGGAACATATCAGTGCAAACCAGACATTGTGAAAATTATAAACAGCCAAAAGCATGTTTCACTCTACTGGTCTAGTCCTGGTTCAGACCTGGTTTAGAGCACACGTGCACTTCCTCATTGCGTGCGCTGACGGCTCGTGCTCTTCTTATGCGCTGTGTTGAAGTTTTTTCCAACTTCCTCCACTTGCGAACCATGGACTCAGTAATGGTGAACTCTCTCGCCGCTGCTCTAGTCCCGTGTGTCTCCGCGTAGCTGATCGCTTGCAGTTTAAGCTGCTTCATAGGCGCGTCTCTCAGCAGGTGCCATTCTCAGGGTTGTCAGAACTATGTTCAGCATACCGCGCATACCTGCACTTTTGAACTACTCGGGGTCTGTCTTCGCTCACGTCCCCACGCTCACGCCACGCCCCTTGTCTTCTACTACGTTTGCGTCTCACAACAACACAATAGGCGCACCGCACCATAGGGCGCGGCGTACATTGGAGAAAATTTAAGACTTTTAGGTGCGCCTTATGGTCGTGAAAATACGGTATATTGGGGACAGAATGTTGCATTGTCTAAAAGAGAAGCATGGTCACAGAATAAGGTGTGGAGTAGTCGGTGTTCCAACCCCGCCACCAGCAGTCCATCCATCCATTGTCTGAACCCGCTTCGTCCACGTAGGGTCGCAGGGGGGCTGGTGCCTATCTCCAGCAGTCAATGGGCAATCAGGCGGGGTACAACCTGGACAGAGAGCCAGTCCATCGCAGGGCAACACACACACACACACCTAAGGACAATTTAGACAGACCAATCAACCTAAGAGTCATGTGTTTGGACTGTGGGAGGAAGCCGGAGAACCCGGAGAGAACCCACGCATGCACAGGGAGAACATGCTAACTCCATGCAGAAAGATCCCAGGCTGGGAATCGAACCCAGGACCTTCTTGCTGCAAGGCAACAGCTCTAACCACTGCGCCACTGTGCAGCCAAAAGCAGTCATCTGTACATCAAATGTCATGTTAACTATTTGATCGTTTACATCCAGGAATCATTGTGCTTCCACACAACTATTGAGCCAGAAACAACTCAGAGGCACTGCTGGGATTTGAACCCGGGATCTCCTGTTAGCACAGGTGCTTTGGCCACTAAGCTACAGCACCTGCTAAAGCAGTCCGAACCAGCACATGGATCCCAGTGGTCCGTGCAAAGCAACACAGGATCGGATGAAATGGAGGCTAATGGCAGCTTTAATTTGAAAGTGGGCTGTGAAGATCTACAGCAGCTTAGAGAAGAGCAGCGATGTTCCTGCATGTTACACCAAAGCCTTTAGTGAACCAGTGAGACTTCTACCATCACCACCCTTTGACTCAGATGCTTTTACTGCTAGTGGTGAGTACGCAGCAGTAAGCAGGGCGAGTCCCAGACAGCCTGAGCAGGAATCTGAAAGCCAACAGGAGTATATCACATCTTCATATTTGATAGCTTAGACTATTTTTAAAGTAAATCAGGAAACGTTATTATTGAAAGTTCAAGTCCTCCAGCATTGTCTCACAGTGGCCAGTAGAGGGGGCTGTGACTCAGAGCTAATGGCTTGCTGTCCTCTCACAGCTGCAGCTAAGATCCACCTTCTGTCCTTCGTCCTCCCTGCTGCTGCTCCTCCTCCTCCTCCTCCTCGCTGTCATCTTCCTCACTCTCGCTGTATTGGTAGTTACAGCGGTTTGTGTTTACAAAGAGGTCACTCTCATCTTCAGAGTCACTACCCTCATCCTCCTCTTTCTCCTCGGGCTCCTCTTGCCGCTTGTGGCTTGTTTTGTCTTGTGATGACTTCTCTGTGAATCCCTCTGGCCTAAGAGGAGGTGGAGGACATCATCAGACCAGAACACGTATGCTTTGCATCTTTATTTGTGCTCTGCTTACCAAAGCTGCTGTTTCTGCAGGTGCTGAATATGATCTTTGTAGAGAATAAAGCTGATTTCTGCCTTCACCTTCTCCCCCTCCTCAATGGGATCCACAATCACATAATCACCTGGAACAACATTTCAAACACTATTTAATATAAATAAAATTACTAACATTTAAATAAGGATTAGAAATAACTTATAAGAACCTCTTCTGTTATTCTGTAGTAATACAGAACATTTCACGGCACGCACGTGTCTCACAGCTCCAACAGGAACACTTGCCAGGCCATTTCAGGAACCACATTAGTACCTGCCTTGGAGAATGGACTTGCAAAAGGCCCAGTAGAACCAATGGGCGGGACTTGTGTTTAGCTCATGCCGATTGGGCAGAGTTGACAGTGATTTCTAAACAACACACACACACACACACACACACACACACACACACACACACACACACACACACACACACACACACACACACACCTCTGTTCTTTTCCATGAAGAAACCTAATCTGGTTAATCGAATCAGAGATTTAAGAAAAACAAAATGCAGGAACAAACCTGACAATTAGAAACATTAATTTAAAGGGACTTTACGGAGTTTTGAATTTTTATGCTCGTGATTGCCCCCTCAGGCCAAAAGCGTAACGGCAGCTTCAATAGTAGGCTCGTGCACGAGGCGCGCATGCTGTACGTGCACACTCCTTAACGAAAATAACAGCTGAGACAGTCCCTTGTGTGTGTGTGTGTGTGTGTGTGTGTGTGTGTGTGTGTGTGTGTGTGTGTAAGTGTGTGTGTGTGTGTGTGTGTGTGTGTGTGTGTAAGTGTGTGTGTGTGTGTGTGTGGCCCGGAGGACAGAGGACAGGAGAACACGCAGCTAATTAAATAATTTGGTTCTGTAGCTTTCTCTTCAGCACAGCAGACAAAGTGAAAAGTTGAACCCACATCTTTTTTATCTGTGAATTCAATGCCGTTCGGCGAGTCTCAAATAAAAATTTGGCCGTCTTACTGTAAAAAATATATCAATGTAAAAAAGAAACTCTAAATAAACTATGTTCACATCCAGAATCGAACCCAGGTCTTCTGCAGGAGAGTCAGACATCTTACTAGGTGTGCTAAAGCGCCAGTGACGTCCTCTGTATCTGTAACATTTATATCCTTGATGACAGCTGAAACAACGTTCAAAGAACGGTTCGGAGGGCGATGCCTGAGCGTGAACGCACATGAAGCAGCCTGCTCGACCCGAGCATCTCTCTTTTTCTGTGATTTTACAGAAAAACAGGCAATCACAGTAAAAATGCCAGGGCTCATTCTACAGGACCAGGGCATTGCAGGAGAATGTATGAAGAAGACATTTATTATTGCTATACATGCTTTGGCCGTCAAACTTCCATAATGCCCCTTTAAGTGAAGTTGTGGAAGAATTAACTCAATACTCCACTTGCCCAAAAGTAAGAATTTACTACATTAACTTGGCATAAAGAGAATTGACTTAAGATCTGTTTTCACTTGCATTGAATTATAAACACTCCAGTTGATTTTTTATCCGTTCTACTAAGCAGCATTTTTATTGTGGTTCCTTGTTTTTTATATTGTTTTGCACTTACATGTGTATTTAATTCTTTCCCATTTTTGTATAATTACTTGACTTGTTTATATATATATATTTTAAAATATTTTTATTGTTTGAAGACTTGTTTTCTTCTCCATTATCCCTCCTTTTGACATTGTACCTCTATTTTTACCTTATGTAATTTTATTGAGTAATCATTGTTTTACTTTTCTTTGCCTCCTTTCATTTTTCACCCTAGACTTCAATAAATAATCTGAACAAAAAGGAAAATAGAAAATGGGAAATATTCAAGCCAGCTGCCAGTCTTGCTTGAGCCCATGGGAATGGTATATGGCCTGTATTTGAATACCCCACAAGGTGCTTTACAACATAGTCATTCACCCATTCACACACACATTCACACCCTGGTGGGGATGAGCTACGATGTAGCCACAGCTGCCCTGGGGCGCACTGACAGAGGCGAGGCTGCCGAGCACTGGCGCCACCGGTCCCTCCGACCACCACCAGCAGGAAAGAGGGTTAAGTGTCTTGCCCAAGGACACAACAACAGTGACAAACTGAGCAGGGCTCAAACCTGCAACCTGATTACTAATTACCATGACAGTGGTTATTTCAGTGACTCAACACACAAAGAAAGAAAACCTATCTGCCATTAAAAAATCATGAAAGATATTGAGAATTAGGAAAGATTTCAGAGAATAAAACAAATATTTGCTCCTGGAACAAGTAGCAATGCTCAAAACTGGCGTGAGGTGTATTTATTTCTTTATTTTAAAAATCTCATCAGTTACCTCTCTTGATCCAGATGTTCTTACGGAACTTGGTGGGCATGCTCACCAGGAAGGTCTCGCCCTGAGCTGTGATTGTTTCATGGAGGTTGTTACCACGAGTACCAATAACCTGAGAATGTGCACAGGTACAAAATATAGATCCGAGTTAGAGAGGTACCTTTGAGTAGTTTTTAAAGCAGCTGGGAGCAAAAGCAAACATGGTTTACCTTTACAATCTGCTGGTTTTCTGTTGGGGTGACGAAGTCTTCCAGAACCTCTTTGACAACATGTTTGCGTTTGGTGGCCTGTGACATGATCTATACAGTTCAGCCAGCTAGGAATGAAGACAGAGGTCAAAAGGCAAGTAATAAATTATGTGATACAGACAACGTTTGTCGCACACTTTAAACAGACACCAGGTAATAGAATTGATCTACATTTGGCTTTTAGCTGAGCTAATATCAGCAGAATAGACTTCTTACACATTTTACCATGTGTATGTTCACCCTTAAACTTAACAAATACGAAACATTATACATATCCTTGTGAAATACTAACATGCCACATAAAAGTCGAACTAGTTAATATGACGTGGTTTTCCGAAAGTAAACAGTGCTGCGAAGCTAGCAAAGCTAGCTCAAACCAAGCTAGTGGGTATTCAACTTCCACGTAAACCACACATTTTCAATTGTCGTTGAAAACATAAAACCACCTTTTTGATCTATATCTTTAAGAGCTGGCGTGTTCTTATTTACTCTATTTTACATTAATGTGACTTTTAGCTGGATATGCTAGCATTTACGTCGCTGTAACATATTTTACACGGGTCGCGCTTTTACCTCGAAAACGAAGACGTAATGCTGTCCTGTGAGACAAAGCAGACTGTAGGAGCAAACAGTATAGCAAAAAAGAGCTTAGTAAGTCTATTCTTAATTATATGAGAGAAACCACATGCGTTTGAGTTATCTGGAAACACGCCGAAGAATTTCCGGTGTTTAACGGGGCTTATGTTTTCAGAATAAAAGCACCCATTTCTGAGTCTTACTCGTTTCCCACCTAACGATCGTGTAACAGGAAAGATTTCTGATAAACATGAATACAGTAGGAATCAAACTGTAGTTTACAAATCAGCCAACAGCCACTGTCTTACTAAGGTGGGTAATTGTGTGATTTAAAACCTTTTATTTTGTTAGCCCAAAAAAATCTCTATTTAGTTCTTCCAGGGCTGATGTGGCTTTGAATTGTGGACGGTTGAGTTTTATTTTAAAATGAGCAACGTTCACAATCACCCACATTTATAACCATTGCTACTACAGCATAAACCCTAACCACTCCTGTTTCATTGAAATATGTCCATAACCTTAGTTTACCATACCTTTTAAAATGTGTCATCACATCAGTAAAAATCAATAATACTAAATAACATAAAAACCCGATTACTGGAAAGCTCAGATATGCATTTATAAATTTCAAATACTACACTGAAAAAATGCATAACTTTTGTTTTTGCTCTCATTTTTCATGAGCTGAACTCAGACATCTGAAACTTTTTCTGCACCCACAAAACACCCATGACTCTCAAATTTTGTTCTGAAATCTGTCTACGTGTGTTAGTGAGCACTTTTCCTTTACCAAGATAATCCATCCCACCTCACAGGTGTGGCATATCAAGGGACTGATTAGACAGCATGAATAATGTGTAGCTGCACCTAGAAGTTAGATGCCACCCGCCAATAAACACGACGAAGAAGAAGGTAGTGTAGCCAGAAGGTCTTCAAGATGAAAGAATTGGAGGCAAACTGCAGAACAGTGAGTTTTTTTTTTCCTTGGGAGCCAATATGCTACCCAGGCTTTTATTTCATTGCTTTTTGTTAAAGAGCAAGTCAACCCCTACCAGAGTCTATCTCCACTCTCACTTCCTGTTTGAAAAATGCAACAAATGCTGTTGCCTGGCAGACCGAGAAGACGGAGCTGCTAACAAATACACACACAGGCTCACGACAGCATTGTGACATCATAATGTACCAGTTTACATCATAGCATACCTCTTAGCCATTAGCGGTGGCAGATTTAAATCAAAATACAGTGCAGAGTTTTTACCTGACAACGGCACAACACTGTCAGTTTTAGGCAGAATATTTAAATTTTAACTAAGATGCACTGAAATGCCAAATTATTGACGACACGTGTCTACAGCACGATTAGACACTCGTTTATTTCGTTTATCAGCTAAAAAAGGTGATTTGGGGTGACTTGCTCTTTAAGTCAGAAAAAGAATCTCCTCAAGCCTCCACATGACTTCTTTTAAATAACATAGAAAGAAAAAAAACATGACACCTGGGAAAAATCAGCACCAATAGCCTACTCTGGATTCAAAGAAAAACATTAAATTCAAAAGGGTAATTACATGAACATACAATGAAAACCCATTACATCAAAACCAGTGCAATAGCCACATTTTAATCTGGTTAAAACATCACATACCAAAGTACCTTCAGACTATAGAAAAATATATTAAAGGGACAAATGGGGTATCATCCATACCACTCCGTCACACTTAGAATGCCCACAATAAAAGGACACCCACAGGATGTGGATTTTGGGGAGGAGTTGGGGCCTCTGGAGTGTCCCTCCGATATTGGTCAGGTGGCTATGAGGATGTGGCAGGCCTCCTGGGATGTGGGGAGCACTGGGTGGCTCTATAATGTTTTACAAAGACGAGTGGCTGGTCGTGGGCGGGATATTTTCCGTAAGAGGTGAGACTGGTGGTCATGACCAGGCTGCGGCTAGGACATAGCTGCCTGAGGGGAGAAGTTGTTTCTGGTTGGTAAGTACCCAAATGGCAGGTGGGAGTGTGGAGATCTGGAGACGGTTAGGCATGTTCTTCTGAGGTTCAGCTGATACGTGGTGGAGTGGCAGACTTTGTTTCAGGCTTTGGGTGCGTTGGAGGTTACTGTTCAGTCTGAGGACATTATTGGAGGTTGCGGAGTGGCGCAGGGTGGAGGCGTTATGTTTTCTACGGGCGGTTGGAGTCTATGACAAGCTGTAGCCAGGTTTGGCTGTAGGCTTAGTGCTGCTGTGGCAGCAATACGCCGCAAGGCATCCAGCCTGCCTTACCCAAAGAAGAAGAAGGCCACCCTGAAATGTGCAGTTTGATTAAACAGCACAATGCCACAGATGTTACAACCTTTGAGGGAGTGGGCATGCTGACTGCAGGAATGTCTACCAGAGCTGTTGTCCATGAAACGAGTGTTCATTCTCTACCATAAGCCGTCTCCAAAGGCGTTTCAGAGAATTTGTACATCCAACTAGTACATCCAAGCGGCCTCACACAATCAGACCACGTGTGACCACACCAGCGCAGGACCTTCACATCCAGCATGTTCACCTCCATAATCGCCTCAGACCAACCAGCTGGACAGTTGCTGCAACAATCGGTTTGCATAACCAGAGAATTTCTGCACAAACTGTCAGAAACCATCTCAGGAAAGCGCATATGCATGCTCGTCGTCCTCATCGGGTTCTGGACCTGACTGCAGTTTGTTGTCGTAATCGACTTAAGTAGACAAACACTCACATTCAATGGCTTTTGGCACGTTGGAGAGGCATTCTGTTCACAGATAAGTCCCGGTTTATACTGTTTAGGGCAGATGGCCGACTGCGTGTGTGGCATCATGTGGGTGAGCGGTTTGCTGATGTCAACATTGTGGAACGAGTGGCCCATGGTGGCGGTGGGGTACTGGGATGGGCAGGCGTGTGTTATGGACAACAAACACAGGTGCAATTTATTGATGGCAGTTTGAATGCAGAGAGGTACCATGGCGAGATCCTTAGGCCCATTGTTGTGCCATTCATCCATGACCTTCACCTCATGTTGCAGCATGATAATGCACGGCTCCATATTGCAAGGATCTGGGCACAATTCCTGGGCACTGAAAACATCCCAGTTCTTGCATGGCCAGCATACTCACCAAACATGTCACCCATTGATGTGTTGCCCTGCGTAGGCAAATGGTGGCCACACCAAATACTGACTGGTTTTCTGCCCCATCAACCCCCATAAAGCAATTCTGCGCACATGTCAGGGTGTCCTTTTATTGTGGGCAGCCTAAGGCACACCTGTAGATTATTCATGTTGCCTAATCAGCCCTTGATATGCAACACCTGTGAGGTGGGATGGTTGGTAAAAGAAAAGTGCTCACCAACACACATGTAGACAAATTTCAGATCAATATTTGAGAGTCATGGATTTTTGTGTATGTAATTTTTCAGATGTTTGAGTTCAGCTCATGAAAAATGGGAGCAAAAACAAAAGTGTTGCATTTATATATATTTTTCAGTGTATTTGCTTATATGTAGATTCAAAGGAAGAGTTATGGAAAGAAACTTAAAGAAAATGCAGACATTAGACTTTAAAAATTTATGTTTTTTTATTCAATGTTTGTATTGTTCGTGTTCCTTACAGCAGTTATAACTGATACGTTGCAGTTTTCACACAATGTGGTTCAGTCTTGGGGAAAAATGACTCCTGGTTTACAACATCAGCACAAACACTAAAGACGGACATCTACCTATAGTTTGAAGTCTGAGCATGGGACTACTCGCTGTTAAGTGACAGCTAATACTGCCTACACACACACACACACATTGAATAAAGTTTTCTGTATCACATCAAATCTAGCTTTATTAGAGCTGGTACTATTTAAAGAGCAAGTCACCCCCAAATCAACGTATTTTCCTGATAAACTATATAAACGCGTGTCTAATCGTGCTGCAGACACGTGTAGTCAATGGTTTTGCACTTTAGTGCATTTTAGTTAAAATTTAATTTTCCTGCCGTTGTCAGGTAAAAACTCTGCACTGCATTTGAATTTAAATCTGCCACTGCTATTGGCTAAGAGCTACCCTAGAACGTTAGCTGGTACCATATGATGTCACAATGTCGTTGTGAGCCTGTTTGTGTGTGCATTTGTTAGCGGCTCCGCCCTCTCGGTCTGCCAGGCATTTGTAGCATTTTTCAAACAGGAAGTGGGAGTTGAGTAAGAATCTGGTAGGGGGTGACTTGCTCTTTAATCGCTGTTGGTATAGTTAGTAAAGTGACATGAGTTGTGAAATATGATGGTAAAACAGGTTTCACGGTAGCAATAGCATTAGCAGAAGTTTAAATGTTTCACTTTGATCGTTGTGCATTTAAGGGCCTGTTAGGTTGAGGCCGGCAGGTAGTAACATAACAAGTTGTATGAAGATGTGCGTTTGTTTGGAAGGATGTGTAACTGTTTAGTTAACAACAGCCGAAGAACACATCCTGTTGATGCCACATGCATTGGAGCCCCTGTACAGGTAGTAGTAGCCCTGTAGAAGGAAGGAACTAACTGTAAAATAATGCTCATAATCAATGTTTCTTCTACTGTGTTTGTTCTCACCTCCTCTCCATAATCCTCCCCCCAGCTGTTTTTGATGGCCCAGAATGGAGTTCCATTTCCTGAAAACACAAAAACACCCACAGTCCTTAGACGCATTCTTCTTTCATCTAACCAATAGCTCAGGCAGTTTTCAAGTTGAGGAAAGAGTTGGTCTTGATCCCACTTAGCATCAGTTTGTTGATGAACTCCATGTCTCCAAATTGGGCGTGTTCGATGACTATCTTCATGCTCGACTCCATTTCTTTACCAAAGTTTCACAAAACTTCACTTTAAAATATCTGAGCTATCACCTTAAACCCAACAGAATGTGTCGTTTCTGTCCTTTGATGGACCAGAGGTGGATCAACACTCACGTTCGCCGTATCCCACCAGCAGCACGGCGTGGTCAATCATCCAGGGGTTGCAGAAGACCTTCCATGGGTGACTCACGCCCTTTTTATAGAACTGAACACAGAAACAAGGTCGTCTAAAGGGAGCATTTTATATCTTTTTAAGCAAGTTATATTAGGTCAAAGGGTCATTTCAGGTTTTTTGATTAGTGTTTCTAAAAGTGGTGGTTTAACTCTAATGAGATGACATCTAGCCCGCATGCAGTAATTTTCCTTATTGTTAGATCACAATCAGGACATTTTCAAACTGCTTGTAGAAGCAAATGATTCATGCAATCAAAATCTGGCAGAAAATGAATGATTTGTTTGCGTTTGGAGTGTTTTTAGAGGTGGAAGAAACCCACACTGCAGCACAATAAGATGCAAAAAGTTAGCTTTGCATCAAATTTCCCCTTTAAATAAAAATATCTGTTTAACAGGTTATTATCTGTTTATGTCGGTACTGTAATGACTACAAATCCAGAATGTGGTGATAGACAGACAGATGAACCACGAAGAATTAAATGAACATCACAGAATATAAAAGCAAAATGATCCAAACCATGCGTCACTTTACTTTAGTACCTTGTTGTGACTTTAGAGAACAAAAAGGTCTGCTCACAAAAGTGGTTATAAAATATGTATACGTTCTTTTCTTGTTCTTCAGTCCTGCTCAAATCTATAAAACTTCAGTCATTTTGAGAATTTTCACTTTTCAAAATCTAGTTTGATTACTCTATGCCATTGCTGTGACTTATGGGGGAAAAAACACAAACACAAAACAATGTGTTTTAAGAAAAACCTGTTTACCTCCAGCCAGGCGCATAAACGTAATGATTGTTTTTGTTTTCTACACTCTGAAGTCCAGTAAGAGAGCGAAACAGCTTTATTTACTTGTCAGAGGTTAGGTTGACCTGATGACTTCCACACAAACAGCAGAAGATCTAAAGAAACGTGTAGCGTTTCTCGCCTGGGCCACTAATGGAGAGAAATCACGAACCTGGCGGCTATAGTTCTGAACGAAACCCTAATATCACAGAATGCATGATTATTTATTGCAGATTTTACAGGATCAAAAACTGCGGTTTGAATGGAAGTCGATGGGATGCTTTTGTCCTCGATAGTCACAAGAGGATAGTGTTTTTTTATTTAATTGTTTTCATTTTTTGCCTTGGACGTTTTCAAAATTCCAAATTGGATTTCACACAAAAACTATTGATGCTAAATTTGTATTTTTGTGTATTTCATAAGATTCTTAACGTTTCGTAACATAACCAAGACTGATGTGTAATAAATACTCCAGGCAGAACATGCATTTTTAAAAATAACTCTTGTTTTGTGTTTTTTATAAATTGCAGCAATGCCATTGAGTAATCAAACTGGAATTTGAAGGGTTAAAATCCTCAAAATAATTAAAGTTTTTATGAGTTTGAGTTTCTCTCTCTCTCTCTCTATATATATATATATGTAGAGAGAGAGAGAGAGAGAGAGAGGTATACATATCTATATACCTATATATATATATATATATATATATATATAGGTATATAGATATGTATACCTCTCTCTCTCTCTCTCTCTCTCTCTCTCTCTCTCTCTCTCTCTCTCTCTCTCTCTCTCTATATATATATATATATATGTAGAGAGAGAGAGAGAGAGAGAGAGAGAGAGGTATACATATCTATATACCTATATATATATATATATATATATATATATAGGTATATAGATATGTATACCTCTCTCTCTCTCTCTCTCTCTCTCTCTCTCTCTCTCTCTCTCTCTCTCTCTCTCTCTCTCTATATATATATATATATATGTAGAGAGAGAGAGAGAGAGAGAGAGAGAGAGGTATACATATCTATATACCTATATATATATATATATATATATATATATAGGTATATAGATATGTATACCTCTCTCTCTCTCTCTCTCTCTCTCTCTCTCTCTCTCTCTCTCTCTCTCTCTCTCTCTCTCTCTCTCTATATATATATATATATATATATATAGATGTATACATATCTATAAAACTATATATCTCTATATCGATACCTATATATATATATAGGTATATAGATATGTATACATCTCTCTCTCTCTCTCTCTCTCTCTCTCTCTATATATATATATATATATATATATATATATATATATATATATATATATATAGGTATCGATATAGAGATATATAGCTTTATAGGCATATAGATATGTATACATCTCTCTTTCTCTCTCTCTCTCTCTCTCTCTCTCTCTCTGTATATATATATATATATATATATATATATATATATATATATATATATATATATAGGTATCGATATAGAGATATATAGTTTTATAGATATATAGATATGTATACATCTCTCTCTCTCTCTATAGATAGATAGATAGATATGAATGTATACATTTTTATAGCCACTTTTACAAGCAGACGTTTTTGTCCTCAAAGGTGACAAGAGGGTTCCATCGTGTTCTCTTGGTCTTTTTTCAAAATTCCAAATTGAATTTCTAAATTTGTCAAGAGAGGTTTTGAGACAACATTTTGTACCATATGCACAAACAATGCAAAAATGGCACCCAAACAAAATGGGAAAAATCGCCCATATGGACAAAAGTGTCCCAAATGATATCTGAGGGTTAAGTCTGTCGTGGCAGATGGCTGCTCATACTGAGCCAGGTTCTGCTGGTCCTGTTAAAGGAGAGTTTTTCCTCTCCACTGTTGCAACATGCTTGCATAACGAACTGAGAAGCAGGTTCAACTTTGTAAAGTGCCTTGAGATGTCTCTTGTTGTGAATTGTTGCTATATAAATAAATGGAATTGATTTGGATTTAAGCGTGAACACACAGAAAACGAAACCTCTCACCTGCATTGCAAAGGCATTCAGAGCCACGGAGACTGGTCCATTTTCAGCCAACCAGGCAGCAATCTCTGAAAACAGGAAGAAGAAAAAAACCACGTATAAAACCTTCCCAGTTAAATAACTGAGTGAATGATAAGAAGCTGGATTTGGTCTTCACCCTTCTCATCCTTGGACAGTTCCACTGAGCTGTTGATGTAGGCAGCCACCTTCTTATCGGTGAAACCACAGCTCTGCTTGTGTCCTGTGTAGGAGTAGTCGGTTTCTGTCTCCAGTCCACCTTAAACACAAAGAGGACAAAGAACGGGTAAAAAAAAAGATTCTTCAAGTTCAAACATCAAATACTTTTACTCTAAAACAGATAAACACCAGCCTGATTAAATGTCTCAGAGTGAGAAATCCTCTTTTTTATGAATCAGGTTGTTTTTTACCCAGCTTTTCAATAGCTTCGTAAGCATTTGATGGCAGCCCGCCCCTGCAGGCCTGGTCCAGTCCATCGCAGTCAACCAGCTCTGTGGAGAAAATAGGGATGAGTCTACTGACCCTCCGCATGGATCTGGAGCAGCAAACTTATTAGCAGCATGTTTTTGTTGAACTGAGCAGAAGAGTGTTACCTTGTTCAGAGAGGGACAGTAAAGCTCCGTTTTTCAGGAACCATTGACCCTCGATGTTTCCTGTGACGGAGAACGCCCAACAAGATCCACACATCCCCTAAAAGCACATCGTGAACGCTCAACTGTTATCATTTAATTCCAACACGACACCACAGCCTTACAAAGAAACCATTTTGTTTTTATTACTTGGTTTTTAACAGGACTGACAGCGCCGTGATCCCGCCAATCCCAGCTGTCAGGGGCGGGGCCTTTAGCTGGTAGAGCAGCTTTCATTGGTCGGTGGAGACTCCACTGACTCAGGAGTGGGTTCAGGTATGTGGAGCGGAACTCCTCCTCTGGATCAGCACAGACAGATGTTGAACTTTAGTGTCACATGATGAGTTTTGTTTAAAGGGGAAGATGAACTTCCTCATCAGAGGCAGAGGAGTGCGTACCGGTCAGGTCGCTGAACTTGGTGACCCCGTACTCAGCAGTTCCCTGGTCCAACGCCTGGAGCTTCTCAGCCACTTTCAGGTTCTCGTGGAAGATACGTAGACGACGGTCGGCCTCTGCCATTACACCAGAAGAACAAAGTCATTTTAGAATAACAGGATCGGTTTATATTTTGATTTCATCGTAAAATAAGAATCAAGATGGACGGGGAAACACTCAGATTAGGAAGACCAGTCAGTGTTATGTCGCACTGAAAATCAGCAATCGTGGACTCACTCAGCAGAGCACACCTCGGTTAGCAGACGCTAACCGTTAGCATTAGCAACTCTCCAACACAACAAGCTTCTTCAGGCTTGTCTTATTTGTGGAGAAAAACATAAATGATGCGAAGCAAACAGAGTGAGTGGCAGAGCCGTGTTTCTTTTAGCCAATCAGAGACGAGATATCAGAAAATCAGGAAATAAGATTCCATATCCTGCCGTTTTCTGCTTCTTCTGTTTTTAATTCCTGAAACAGGAGCGCCAGAGCTTTTCCCCCCACAGACATCAACTCCCAGGGCATTCGTTTGTACCAGAGACCACTGCGAATGTGTTGAAAAACGAGTGAACTTGGTCTTTAAAGCGGATCCTTAGCTAGATGTTCATCTACAGCAGGTTAACTCTTCCTGGCTGCAACAGCTAAGTCACGTAAACAGCGGGATGTAGCACAGCGATTATACAAAACAAAAACAACACCTCACCTTCCTGACTGCTGTACACCTTCTTGTATTTGACCATGAACTCCTTAAACTGGCCCAATAGCTCCAGAGGCTGCCGAAAGATAAACATGTTGACAAAACAGAACTAATCATGTCGTTTACAGATTTGTTTTCAGTCTGAAACCAAACCATTCTCACCTGCACCGGCTGAGTGACGGCTGAAGTCTCCACCTGGTTGGTCTCTCTTACCTCAGGATCAGCTGACAACAGACACATTAAAGAGATCTTTCAGGTGTTTTGATGTGTGTTTTCTGTGCAACAACTTCTGCAGCAGTTCACTGCAAACAGCTCATGAACCTTCACTCAAGGGTTACTTCAGAATACACAGTTATTTATATGGAATTATGTGGTTATTAACATGTAATATTTCAGCAGCAGCTAAAAGGACCCAGCTGCCATCTAAATTATTAATTATAATATAATTATAAATAGCTAATACTGAGTGTTTTGAATAATGTTTATAAGTAAATACATTTTAATGATCTTATTATTTAATTGAGCTAACTTATTAGAATGTTCCTGCTACACCTGACCCCAGGATACAACAGGTCTTCATTTAGCTGCTGGTGGCGTTTTTTATGCATAAATGCCCAATTTCAATAAGAAAGGTTTTATAAAATCACTTTAGGTTATTGTTTTTAATCATTATGTCTGAAAAATGTAAAAAAAGGATGAACATTTTTATTGTGACAAGTGGAAAATGAAAACTGATCCATGAGGTCTAAATGATTCAATGACCTTATATAAATTTTAAGTCCCATCTGTCGTCTCAAACTGGCAAAATTTGTTCTCCGCATTTGGCCCATCACGGGGAGGGGGGGGGGGGGGGCTGCAGACATGTCACGGCAACTATTTGGTGGTTTAACCCAATGGAACTAAGATTGGGACACTATTACAAGTAACTTGTACCACGTTTTGTACTTGTAACATGTTTTGTATGTGTAACTTGTATTTTGTGGCATGTAATTCTTGTTTAGGAAGACGTAGCTTTCGTTTTGTAACATGCGACGTTTGGTACATAACATGAAACTTTCATTTTGTAACTTGCAGAAAAAAAATCTATGTTCGAGTTTCAAATCACAACTCTCAAAACACAGATCTCAGTCAACAAAAATCCAGTCTACGCGTACAAAACGTTCTGTCCCAATTCTAGCTTCCTTCTCAAAGAACCAATGACAGGCTTTGTCTCATCAGCCAATCGTGTGTCTTGGATATGAGGTCCTGCTCTAATTAAAAATGTAAGTTCTTTATTTACAGCAGTTTAATATGTGTAAAATGATTGCCACCTACTGGTGAAGTGAGAGAATGTAAGAAGTGTGGTTGTGAGGAGTGCAACAGCCAGTGGCGTGTCCAGATCGTTTCAAATGGGGTGGCCCAGGTTAGGCACAACTTTGTGCATGGGTGGCACCAATGGTTATGCTTTTTTTCCCCCTTTACCCCAAGTCTTTTGTGGACAATGAAAAGCCTATTTAAAGGGAATTCTGTGTGGTGGCACCTGGGGGTGGCCAATCAGATTCCAAGGGTGGCATTTGCTACCCCAGGCCACTCCCTGGCCACGCCCCTGGCAACAGCTCTCTGCCCTCTGGCCACGATTGGACAGGAATCCAAGACACATGATTGTTTTGAGCGTTGGGATTTGAAACTTGTAAACTGATTTTTTTTCAGCAAGTTAGAAAACAAAAGATTTGTGTTACGTACCGAAGGTTACATGTTACAAAACGAGAATTGCGTGTTGCAAAACAAAAGTTTTGTGTTCCAGAACATGAATTACAGGCTACAAAATGAAAGTTACAGTTACAAATCATGTTACACGTTACAAAAATTGGTACAAGTTGTATGTAACATTGTCCCTATCCTAACTCCATATAACCCCTCAATCCAACCCCTTCATGCTGAGTGTTAAGCAGGAAGGCACTGGGCCCCATTTTTAAAGCCTTTGGTATGACCCGACCGTGGATTTGAACCCACGATCTCCCAGTCTCAGGGAGGACACCCATACCACTAGGCCTCAAGCTGGTCAGAAGCGCCTTTCACCTGATTTCTTTTTTCTCAGATTGGTACAACTTATCAACCACATCAGTAAACACCAAAGTAACATAACACAAAGTTCAGCTTGAACAAACTGGCTGTCTGGTCTGATCAGAGTCCATCAGAAGAAATAAAATGGACTTTTTGATTTTATTCGCACCAGTAGGGATGTATCATGTGGTGCCAGTACGGAAACTGTGAAACTATGAGTCAAGGAGAATTATGGCCTTAAGTTATTTTGGGAAAACAGCAGAGCAGGGAAATGGTTTCGGGTTGAAGGACTACTCTGATCGATCTGGGTGACTGACCTTTAGGCTGGCACTTCTGTTTCAGGAGGGTTGTAGTGTTCTGCCAGGGAATGTCCCACACTTCAAACACACACACCTCAGTCTAAAATATGAAAAAGCATCCAAAGAAAGATCAGAAGAGGAATATCACACAAGCAGAATCACAAGTTCAACAATAGAGGGAAAAGTTAAAGGTAAGCACACAGAGGACATGTAAAAACAGACTAAATGAGTTCAGTTGCAGGTTTTCAGTTTGCAGTGATAACTGAAGGCTAAACAGAAAAATGATTTGCTGTTGTTGGATGAGAGAGGGCATGAGGCTCGGACACACTCCAAGTCACAAGACCAGATGACTAGTCCAATTTCTACTGAACACACTCCGTCTGCACCAATAATAAACGAGGCATTCTTTACTGGAGACTTTATATGTGCTGTAACCACCCCAAACACTCACGCTGCTTCAGTTAGAGCCCCCACACACATCCTACCTTCAGTTTGTGAGGCTCAGGATAGAAGTCACACGTCCGCAGCATGGTGGACTTCTTACACTGAGTGTTGCTCAGCTCCACTGTGAGAGTGTAACGGAGTCCCTTAACCAACTGGAGAACAGGTCAAACACACAGGAAATGACAGAATTTAGGAATGCAGCAGAACTAATAAGGGAGACTGTTTTAGAAAGTTTAATAAAAAGAAAAAATTATGGAAAATATATTCAGTCATGCTCAGAGTTTATCAGCGCACATGTCAGTCTGGTCAAAACTGGTCTGGATCTGTTCTGCTTAAAAAAATGTTACCTTAAATCTTAGTTTCCACCAAAATGAAAATAGGGCTTAAAATTGTGATTTCCACAAATCTGTCGAAATAACTAATTAAAAGACTTCTGATGTGTTTTCCCCCCAAAGATTTTCTAGAGGTGATCATTAATACATGCATGTTTATTAGCAGTAGCAGGGGTTTGAACCTGCCACACATGCTCTTAATGGTCATTATTTATCTTCCTTGTCCTGAAAAATTATTGTATTTTAATCGATTTCATTTGGAATTTAAAGCGCTGTACTAAAATTTCAAATACTTTCACAAAAAAGTGAAAAAGCGGTTTTACTCATAGATCTGCGCTGGTTGATGGCTGTTTTGAGCCATCAAGTCAGGTTAGAAGCAGCCATTCCACTTCCGGTCAGGTCATAAGCGTGCATCTTTTTATAAGCTTTAAGAAAAATGAAATTAATTTTAGAACATTAATTAACTGTTGATGAGAAACGGTGAGGAGTAATAGGTCCCATTTACATAGATAGGTAAATATAGCGCTTGTAACATGTATGCCTTTATTTTGATATTTCCGGTTTAAGCTTAGCTAAACCTTTGCTAATTACTTGACGCAGATCATTTAAAAACGAGCTGATTCTTACAGTGAAATACGTGCTTTTACATTTATTTGTGTAAGACCATATAAAATATAAATAAACGCAAAAAATACTAAAATATTTACCTGTTTATTGGCGGAGATCAGCCGGCTGACCCTGCGGAGGTGTATAGCGTTGGAGCCATGGTTGTACCGCTCCTCAGCGAAAAGCAGGGCCTTTTTTAATCCCAGGTCGGACTCTTGCAGCCGGATAGGAGTGCCGGGGGGCCCGAACAGAGGCCAGTCTAGGTCTTCACCTAACCCGATCACCGAGCTCAGTACAGAGGCCAACACTAGCCAGGGGATTAGCGGAGAGCAGCGCATCCTGACCCGCATGATGTTTTCTCTTGTGCTGTCAAAAAGAAAAGGGTCCGACGTTCAGTCGGGACTCAGTTTAAAGCGTCTTATTTGTTTTCGTGGAAACAAAATCGTTATTAGTTTAACAGCAGCGGTTACACAAGATGTACGTTTGTTGTCAAACAAACTGGGCTGGATTAGAGGAGGAGTTTAGTGGGAGGGGCTTGTTAGACATGGCTTCCAAGTCTCATCCTCTTCCGGTCAGCTCATGGGTCCCTTAAAAACAGAAAAAAAAAACTATTTTGCAAACCAGAACAGAATGGTTATTGTAGCGCTAAGTTCGCATTTTCTTTACAGAACCCAAAACAGCTGTTCTGCTGGTGGCAGGATGACAGTCTGCACTTAGCAGGGAAGACGGTTTGCTATTAAATGAAATAGCCAATCGTAAGAGAGCCCTGTTAGCCAATCAGAGGCGAGAAAGGCGGGATCTTCCTTGGACATCCTATGATTCCAAATCACGCTCCCGGCAACGAAGAAGAAAATGAACGCAAATGAACTGGGCTGTAAAAACTATTTTCCGCTTTGCCTTACGCCATGAATCAAACATTTTATTATCATTATACTTCAATCATATGCTACATAAATAAACATAACTGAAATCAAAAGTACTGATGTGTGCTTTGACAGTGTCTGTGAGGTAATTTAAGATTGATTAGCTTGTACAAAAATACATATTTTACAGTACAATACAATAAACTGTAAGTTATTATAATATAATAATTTAATAAGTTATTTTAAGGGAGCAGAAATTATGGAGGAAATCATACTATATGCCATAAAGTGAATTTTAGATTTTATTTAAATGTTTCTGATAATATTGTTTCACTGTCTAAAGTAATCAAATTTTAACACTAGAGAGAGACAAACTAAATGTTTCGGCCCTTATTTTGAAAGCAATAGTGATGACTAGATGCATCTGGCGTTTGGCATTGTTCAACTCAGCCATTAATCACAGAAAAGAGAGGAAAAATAGACGCAGATTGTGATTACTGCTAACATGCTCAAAATGAACGTTTCTCTATATTAGTTAAGAACGTTTCAAGAAATGGCGCTTTTATACTAGAAGGTGCAAACCGGAAGTGTATTTGCACCACAGGAAGAAACATCTGTTGATAACCGTTATGCTAACCTTTTAGGATAGCTTTCATATGCTGCGTGTTATATTTCACAGTTAGTCGAGTCTGTTGGCTAAACAATAACACAAATTAGCTGCTAGTTTACCCCGCGCATGACCAGCGTACTGCCGTAAACGTTATGACTGGTCTGCTTTTTAAAATCAGGCTGTACTCTTAGCATTAGCTTTTACCAAAGTCCGACAGGCAGACATGGAGACGCGGGGGATTGAGGACATGTTTGACTTTCGTCGGTAAGTCAGCCAACAATGGTGGACAAGCGAACGGCTGGCTGCATTGTTGGCGCTGTTACTGATTCTCTTAACTTTAAATTGCTAATGTATTTATGTATGTATAATTTTTGGCTAATTCAATTCAAAAATACTTTATTAATCCCAGAGGGAAATTGATTGATGTAGTTGCTCAGAATAATAATAATCAAGTGATCAAAGAGTTGTTGTATATTACAATGGCTGTTGGCTGTTGGCAGGAAGGATCTCCAGTAGCGGTATACGTTTAGAACATATAACACAACTGTTCTCGAAACAGGAGCTAATTAGGCTGCTGGTGGTAGAGGTTAACGAAACGTGTTGCTAGAAACACGTAGACCTCATTTCACTACACTCAAATGAGATGTGTAATGTTAAGTGCCTATTAAAAGTAATTTTTTATTTTCTCAAACACTCGCATCGGCGCTGTAGTTAGTGTAATTAATAAGTCCCTTTGTTAAGTAAAAAATGCAGTGAAGTATGGTCGCTTAGCTGAATGTGGGTAAAGTTAGCCCCTTAGTGCCTGTTAAATCATTACTGTCAGACAAGTTCATGCCAGTAGTGACACGTATGGTAAAGTATTGAAAGTGAAAGTTAAAAATATCTCTAACACTCACTGGTTTCTCATGAGCATTGATTAAAGAGCAAGTCACCCCCAAATGAACTTTTTTTCTGGTAGACTATATAAATGCGTGTCTAATCATGCTGCAGACACGTGTAAATAGTTTTTCACTTTAGTGCATTTTAGTTAAAATTTTAATTTTCTGCCTAAAACTGTCAGTGTTGTGCCGTTGTCAGGTAAAAACTCTGCACTGCATTAGAATTTAAATCTGCCATCGATATTGGCTAAGTGGTACCTTAGAATGTTAGCTGGTACCATATGATGTCACAATGTCGTTGTGAGCCTGTGTGTGTATTTGTTAGCGGCTCCACGCTCTCGGTCTGCGAGGCAACAGCATTTTTTTGCTTTTTTCAAACAGGAAGAGGGAGCGGAGTAATTCTCTGGTAGGGGGTGACTTGCTCTTTAAGTGGGATTGTAAACATTTAAAAGATTTGTAAAGGACGCACAAACATGTTTTTGTTTCTGTAGACGCAGTACAGACTAGCCAACACTGTAAAACATTTTAAACCCTTCTACTTTGTTTCTGTCATGCATTTCAGTTTCGTTATTTTTTCTATCAAACACTGCATTAAAATTCTAGTGCTCTCACCGGCTCACTTCCTTAGTTCCACCTTGCTAGGGCTGGGTTCAACCCCTTTGCCTCCAGAACTGCCTAAATTCTGTGTGCCATTAAATAAACAATTTGTTGGAACATTCCTCAGAGGTTCTGGTCCGTATTGACATGATGACATCATCATGATGATGATCTCCAGTTCCACCACATCCCAACAGTACTCATTTAGGCTGTGGTGTTTAAACCAGGCCCAGGTGGGATTAATGTAGTTTTCACACCTGGGTTGGCCCTGTCAAGAAGGTCCCGGCTGTTGACTGCAGGGACTAGTATTGGGCAGAGGTGGACATCCAAGGGTACTTGGCCCAGTCTGGTCTTGGTAGCATCAGCCCAGTCACAATCGGCCTTGTTGAGAATGTAGAAATCTCTGAGCACACGGGAGGGGCAAAAGACATGTGGAGAAGTCTGTGGTGTCCCTTCATAAGTAAACAAAGGTGGCCGTGAGCAGTGTTGCTTTTGGAGACTCTGATGTTGCTTCCTGATCTCTCTAGCCAGTTTTGCAAAACAATGCCGAATTTTTAAAATGCACGTGAACGCGTTAGTCGGGCTGAAGGCGAGCTGGTTCTTATCGAGCTGAAGAACCCAGATGATGCAGTAGCAATCAGATTACATTCTGCATGTAAATGGTTCAGCCGAAATAAACCGGTAGAACGCTCGCGATTCGGAAGTGACAAGATCGCGAAAGCGGAAGTTCTGACAAGACCATCATTACAAAGCAGCACCTGTAACACCATGAAACAGGACAGTACGTACCAAATAAGCTGTGCTGCAGCGTTATTGTTGTGCATTCCTTCAGCCATTGTGCACATCCTGTTTCAATTCCATCTGCTTCACTCCCGCCAGCCTCTGTTTACTACTTGTGTTGCTATAAGCTAACCGGAAAAATGCTGACATGAAAAGTGGCATGTCGCCACCTACTGTACCAGAGTGGAACCAACTTTATTTGAGAGGCCGTTTTTGTAATGCGCATGTAAACTAGGATAAAGACTCCCAGCGTATTAAAATAAGATCGATCTGGATCGACTTAGATGTCAGTCAGTGTGCATTTAAGTGTGCTGACTGAGACTGCGAGTGATTGTGCTCTTCAAAGAAGTCTGTCCTCGCACTGGAGCAGCAGCTCTTAGCTGCAGTCAGAAAAATGCTTACTCCCCAGCATTTGGTGTGATAAGGAGCCCACCAATCGGAGGCTCCCCGTAAACATAGGCATGAATTTCAGCCAGCCAGTCAGTCAGCAGTGGGTGTGTTGGGTCAGTTCAGTCCAAAGCATACCGCCAGGCAAGGAGGTCTGAAAAAATGGCCAGCTGAGCACGGGAAACCCAGATGTGAACACAGTACAACCTACCAGGGCGGATCGATGTCATTCCAGGTGTAAACGTGCCATAAGGGATCCAAAGTGGGACAAGAGTGCCACACACATACCATTACATCCCCACCACCATGCTTAAGCATTGATAAAAGGCAGGATGGGTCTATGCTATTATGTTGGTGACACCAGATTCTGACCAAACTAACTGAAAGTTGCAGCTGAAATCCAGAATCATCAGACCAGGAAAGGTTTTTCCAGTATCTTCTGGTCCAGTTCTGGAGATCCTGTGGGAATTCTAGCCTCTGTTTCCTGTTCTTAGCTGACAGGAGAGACACCTGGTGTGGTCTTCTGTTGCTAGAGTCCATCTGCTTCAAGGTTCTACATGTTGATGCTTGAGAGCTTGGTTTGAGTTAGAGGTCAACCAGTACCAGTTTTTCTATTTCAATAAGTAGAAGAGATGGTCAGCCGATGGCCGATATTTACTGCCGATTTCCTAACATTTTCTACATTGTTTTCATGCAAACATGTTACTAATAACATCAGTTGATGCACAACATTTCTGAAACTGCATCAGTTTGTTAACTCTGGATTTAACTAACTGTTAAATCTTGACTTTGTGCACCGCTCAGTAGGGTTGCAAGGATTAACCGGTTTGACTATTAACCATGGTGTGAAACGCTGCGGTCAACAACCACCAGGACTGCTCTTTCCACCTAGGAAGTGCTTCAAGCAGTAATTATTAGAAAAGTCCAGTTAACGATGGTTCATGTTGTGCTGTTCTACGTTTCCCCCATGTCTGTCTACACCAAGATGGTACAGCAAGCCATTTTAATATTTAATCAACATCTCCTCTCTAATTCCTGTTCTACATAGCAATAATATAATTAATCCTTGACCAGATAAAATTCTTACTGTTGAGATTGAAAAGATTTGAACAAGTAGAAATTACATTTAAGTAATAAGTAATATTCATAATAACAACTGCGCTAGTACTAATTTAGCATCTTAATTCATGATGATGTCTCCGTCCTTCAGTGCTAACCCTGACCAGTTGTCAACAGTTAAACCTTTTTGTCTTTTTACAGAAACTCAAAACAAGGCTATTAGGCTAATATAATTAAAGGTGTGGAACACTTAAAAAACATTTTAATGATTATTTCTGATAATCCGTCACTCTTGAGTTTTTCATGAAGCTGAACTTGAAGACAGTCTCCTACACCTATCTCCTGCATTAGCTTCTAATAGAAAATAGAAGGTGAAATTCTAGGATTCGAAAATCCAGACAGATCTACGTCACACTGTCACTTAACATTCATGGACTCACCCAAACTGATGCATGACAGAGAAGGCTGTTGTTGTTTTAGCATCCAGGAAACAGCAGAGAACGTCTCGACTAGTTGAAGCTAACCGTTAGCATTAGCAACTCCACCACACAGCAGAACTCCTCCAGGCTTGTGGCACTTGTGGAGATAAAACATCAACGTTGCAAACCAGTAGTAGAGTGAATTTTCTAAGCAAAGTCTCTGCAAAGGAACAATAGATATTTCAGGGATTCAAAGCCTTTATAGAATGTAATCATGTCTTAATCAATAATTCATAGAGTGTGTGATTTATCTATGTTAATACAGATGTGAAATCAATTCATGTAAAATAATCGTGAAACCGTGATTTCTCAGACTATAGTCGTACCAACGAAATTCATAATCATTGCAACCCCACCGCTCAGTGTTAAAGTTCATTTAGAGCGTTTAATATGCAGATGTTATTAGTGAGCATAAACATAAATGTCAAATCTATAACAGCAGCGGGCTGCCCGAGGATGTGCCTGACTTTAAATCAGCTTTACTAGGGATAAACATCAGCCGATGTAAAAAAACGGGAAACAAAACAGTCATTTCCTGACTGTTTTCATCTAACATCAACAAAACAATTTATTCACACAGCTGCTGTTTGCTGGAGATTTTCTTTCATTTATTTATTTTTTTCCAAATCAATCTTTGTAAATGCTACAGATGGTTGTGGGTTCAAATCCCAGTAGCTCACCACCCTCTGTAACCCTCCGACCAGCCTGCCTGATACCAACAACCTTAGTCCCTTGAATTTCCTTTCTCCTTCATTCTGATACCCGGTCTGAACTGCTGCCGTATGATCGGCTGACGAGCTGTTTGTATTAAACTGAACATATGTACCTAATAACGTGGCTAGTGAGTGTGTGAAGTGTCATATGAAGCAGACTGGTGTTTACAGCTTGAGTTTGTTCTGTGCACAGGTTTCCCAAAGATCCGGTGCTTCTCCTGCTGTTGCTGATTTACTTCCCAGTTGGCATTTGTTTGATGCTAATACGGATTTTTATTGGTGTTCACATCTTCCTGGTCAGCTGTGCCCTTCCTGAAAGTTTTGTTCGAAGGTAGGCATCTATTAGTACATGTTACTGTAGCCGGGGTAGCGATTGCTGCATCATTAACCATATGCTGATTAAAAATGACCAACTTAGTTATAGAAATTGGAGATATTAAATAGGTGTTTCTTTGTTTGTCTGTAGGTTTATTGTGAGAGTTATGTGCTCGGTCCTGGGCATGCACGTGAGACAGAGAAACCCTCGCTCCAGAGACAAAAATACCAAGCTGTACATATGCAATCATGTGTCCGAGTTCGATCACAACATCATCAACCTTCTGACCTCCTGCAGTACCGTGAGTGCTTCACGTTCATCCTCTACCTTTTAGTCTGTAGATACTGTCCTGCACATTTTCAACGTTCGTTGAAGAGCTGTGAGTAATTACTGACTCGTGATTCATGGACACAAACACGCTCAGCGGTAGAGAGCCATTAAAATAAGCCGTTTTCAGACTAAAATACAGATTTTTTTGTGATTGCTTGTGTTTTAAAGAGTGCCTGACTTTTTCTGACGGTGTTTTGCTATGTGGCAGTAAATATTTTCTCTGTAGCTCCACCTTCAGTCTTGAAAACAGGTTTATTCTAGTATAAACCACACCCAACAGTCTGGTGGCACTGCTGCAGACGCAGTTGCAGCACAGCTGTTTGCTTTATCCTGATCCTGTGGATGAACCGACCTTCGTGAAGAAAAACCCGGAAACTAGAGCAAGGGGCTGGTAATCCTGGTCCTTGAGGGCCGCTATCCAGCAGGTTTAAGTTGTTTACCTGCTCCAACACACCTGATTCCTGGATGAATCACCTGTTCAGGAGCTCATCAGGCTCTGCAGCAGCCTGTTAATCACCAGCAGATATTCAAACCAGGTGTGTTTAAGCAGAGAAACAACTAAAACCTGCTGGATGGCGTGCGGCCCCTCGAGTGAGGCCGGCATTTAAAGTTTAACCAGCTTCAACATTACCCACTGGGGCAGGGGTCGGCAACCTTTTCCCATCAAAGAGCCATTGTTACCTGTTTCCGGCAGCAAGGAAAACACGGAGCCGCAGAGCCGTGGAACTTGGGCCCACCTTAAGACAGCTGAGAGCTGCTCCTCTGTTCTAAATGACTTGGACATGTCTTTAGAACCACAAGTAGAACCGCTAAAAGCCTTTCTTCTAAAGGAAGATGTTTTCACCAGACGCCATCTCACCTTTTTCCCCCTTGACCTGTTTTCATGTCTGACTTTACAAATACAGGCCATTTACTAGGGATGAGTATTGGTGAAATTCTGGCGATACGATACTTATCACGATACAGGGGAGACGATACGATATATCACCATATATTGCGATACATTCAGTCGGACAATTATAGCGATTTTTTTAGACTAAAATTGTTGTAGGAAAATTCAATAAATGGTCCAAACTGATACTTAACATGATTAACATGAGGTATCTGAACCATAATAGAGGGATTTACATTTCAGTGGTGGAAACCAACTCCATTGCACCCTACTGCTGACTAGCGGACGGCATTTGATTTGCACCAAAAGAAAAGAAAATACACAAATGTTTGCACGTAAATTCTTCCAAAAAAATCGATACACAGCTTTTGAACATCGATATAATATCGCAGGAAAAAATATCGCGATATATTGCTATATCGATATTTTCTTACATTCCTACCATTTACCATTAAATATTCTGGTATTGGGCTGCATCAGCTGTGTTGACTCAAAGCACATGAACAGTCTCACACACACATGGCTTTAGTATCATACACAAATACTTCTTTTTGTTAATTTATTCCTCTATTAAATATTTATAGTATTGTAATGAACGTTTCAATCTGTCCTGTATCACTAACACATCTGTGCAGCTGTTGAACCCCAATAAGGTAAAACACAAATGTATCATGCCTGTGTCAAAAGGTGATTGGTGGCAGAACGTGGAGACTTTTTTGGAGTAAGAACATGTGAGCAGTGATGCATGAAAGTATTTCTAGTCTCACCTGCCAGGATGATGGTGATGTGGCTTTAAGTTTTTAATTTGTTGCTGTTGTAGATGGAAGAAACAGCATGGTCTCTGTCTCTTCAGTCTTTTAATGACGTCTGCTGCATTTGTCTCGTTTCGTTAGTGTGAGTGAATTTAGTGTTTTTCTGCCCATCAGCCCCAGTTAGAAGGCTCCACAGGCTTTGTGTGTTGGGCCAGAGGTTTCATGGAAATCCACTCGGCTTCTAGCCAGGAAGCAGTGGGAGAGACTCTTCAGAGGTACTGCTCTACCGACGGCACCCCTCCTCTGCTCCTGTTTCCTGAGGAGGACACCACGAACGGCCGAGCCGGTCTGCTCAAGTTCAGGTTGGTTTGGGTCTCGAAGGGAAAAAGTTAGCCATGCTTGTTTTGTTCCTACAGTCTAAAAAGCAACAGTTGGATGTAATAAATGCGGGTTTTCCTTTCCTCACAGCTCCTGGCCGTTCTCCCTGACTGGATCTATCCAACCTGTGGCCTTACGAGTGACCAGACCGCTGCTTTCTTTGGTAACAACATTTAAACTGGTCTTATGAATAAAATGGACAGTGAGGTTCCTCTAATACAGTGGCTTTATTATGTGCTGTTGTTCCACAGAGCACGCTGGGGTCTAGTTGGCTGACAGAACTCGCATGGACATTTTTTGCTCCATGGACAGCGTACCATGTAAGGTAGTAAATAATTTGTCTTTTTTTCTTTCATTCATTGCCTTTTAGTTTATTTTTTATTACATTCAGTTAGAAATTTACCTTTTTTTTTTGCATAAGTTTTTTTTTTTTTTTTTTTTTGTAAAATGTAGAAACAAAAAAACACGTAAAATCAAAGTTCATCTACTTTATTCAACAATAATAACGACCAGGCTGTGGCTCTAAATGGTGGTAACACTAAGTGAGAATTTTAGGCTGTAAGCTCTCGGTTCTCCGGGAGTTCTTCACTCGGCTTCTTGTTTTTATTCCAGCTGGCTTCCTCCCGTTTCCAGACAGGAGGGTGAGTCGACGCAGGAGTTCGCCAACAAAGTCCAGGAGGTGACATCTGCCACTTGGTTGTGTTCATATGTTTAAAAACATCTAAATGGAAATTATAATCCGAGCTGAGTGACTAGCATTTGGATTTAATCTTTAGAGCAAGGCCAGGTTTATGACACCAATAAAACACATTTTTTCTGCCTGTTCTGTGTAAGTTTAAGTCTCTAATGTCTCTTCTTCTTCAGCTTCTTGCAGCTGAACTTGGTCTCATTTCCACCAAGATCACAAAAGCCGACAAAGTCGAACACATCAAAAGGAAAAGACACACAGTCCCACCAACGGCTACTAGTGAGTAAATCTAACTGGACGCGTTTGACGTTCCACCTGTTGCATTTGGGTTGGAAAGGACGTCAGCTGTTGTGTTCTGTAAACACAGGCATCAGACCCAGTTCTATTGGCCTTGGCTTCATGGCCCAGAGTTTGGGCACAGATGACCATCGGATTGCTAAAATGGCCCAGCAGGTGAAGGACGTGCTGCCACATGTCCCATTGAGTGTCATCACAAAGGACTTGGGTAGGACAGCGTTTTTGTTAAGCGTGTCCATAAGCAGCCCCGATGTTAAATAAGGCACAAATGCATTCTTTTACAGCTCTAAAGTTTTATTTATTTATGAAAGCTAGACCAGTGCTTTAGGAGAGCTGTACACAAACACATACCTGCAGACTTTCAGGCCAACTTCTTTTGTTCTTAATCAGCTTTTGGAGAAAATTTGTACCGAAACAACTAATTACTGCCTTAGACAAGCATGACATCCTGGCTTCTAGTTCCAGTCAGGTAAAGGTCAGTAAGGGTCCTTCCACTGAAACGGCCTTTCTCCGAGTCTCCGATGACGTTCTTAAGCTTGGTTCATGCTTGTCGCATTCACTTTCCGCTTGGTGATGCGGCTCGCGGATGGAACGCGCTTCACAACTCGCAGCATTTATGGTTCATGCGGCTCGTCTCTGCGGTGAGCCAATATTCTCCCAAACTGTAGGGGGCAGCATGGAGCTCTACGGCATGCATCCAACACTACACCATAGTAGAAGTAGAAATTACTGTTTACAACACGGCATTCCAGCATTTTTAACAGCGTCCTCGTCTTTTCCGACAGTGCGAGCTTTTTCTCTCCAAGAATTATTAACAACATGTTGATCACGGTGATCTCTGAGAGCTGAATCACACAAATGTCTGTATTTACCAACCTCTGCCATACTAGTTCTTGCCAGTCCGCCATGTTTTTCGTGTCCGACCGTCCACGTGGTTAGGAAATTTCCTAGGTGCGCGGTGCGGAAAGTTTGGGCCGTGCGGAGGCGCGGTGGAGGGGCGTGGTTGTTAAAATGACGCAATTTTGCCGCGCGGACATAGCTTTATGCTAGGTGATTCTGGGATTTGTACGCAGCAGCTCTGAGTTGAGAACGCTCACTCTGCCACAGTTCTGCACAGACGCTGTAACAAAGATTGTAACAGTGATGTCTCACTTTGATTTGTTTTCAAAACCCAAATCATTTGAACCTTTTTAGCATGAATTTACTTTTATTATGTAAACTCATCTTAATCTAACTTTTTCCCCATCATGAACTTAATAATCCTTGTTGATCTAGAGGCTTCGTTCTCAGGGAGAACGTCATTCAGCTGCTGTTTGAGACACGTGACACTTTTGCCTATTACCAACCTAAATTTAAGTATTGGTCATTTAGCACTGATAATGTTTAAAGCCCAAGCATGCATGATGGGAGATGTTTGATGTTGGCATCCTAAAACGATTTAGCTTATTTATTTATTTGCTGTTGTTGTTTTGGGGGACCCTGCATGTATCGGGTATCAAGAGTCAGACTATCACAGGGTATCCGCGGGTCCTTAAAAAGTCTTAAATTAGCTTTTCCAAATTTAAGGCCTTAAAAATCCTTAAAAATGACAAATAATCCTTAAATACAGTTTCCAAAGGTCTTAAATTACCAAAGACCCAATAAACAAGATTATTTTGTTTCTATGAAATCTTGTGAATTTCTAGTTAGTGTTCAGCATTTTTTGTGTACGATGTTGGCGTAAGCGGTTGGTTGTGAAAGGGGACTAGTTTTAGCTGGTTAAGCTAGTGGGAGCTTGCGCCATGGGGAAGTGCAAGTTTAATGGTAACTGGATGGCTAATCCCACGTTTGCGATGTGGTTAGCACCGGTTCCAGGCAATAGCTAGAAATTATAGCTTAAATTTAATTTCAAAAGTAGCTTAAATTTGGTCAAAGTGGCCTCAAAAAGGTCTTAAAGAGTCTTAAATTTGGCTCCCTTAACCCTGCAGATACCCTTAATCAGTATGTTGGTAAAAAAAAAAAAGCCAATGGAGTATCCTTAATTATCATGAAAGAAAAACATTCAAGAACTTGAGTTTATAAAACAAACATTATTGAATGTTTCTGATGAAAATTAACATTCAGGAGTGGTTACGTTTGTACAATCTGAGGGGGCGTGCACCATAAGTTCTGTGGGTACTTGTTTTTACTCCAGAATGTTGTTAAATGTAGTAAAAAGTACCCAGGAATTATAGCTCACACTACTGTTCTGGTCTCATATGAATGCAGGCATGTGTATTATAACATTATCTAAACCACAGTCACTCTAGGAGCTGATGCATCATGGGACATGAAGTGCATCACATGCAGGTTGCTCCCGTTTGCACACCAGTGGTCTTTGTTCACTTTAGTTTTCCAAGTGTTTTAATTTTCTATCCCTTCATATTTGTATAGTTTGAGTGAATTCCTAAAAAGTATTATTACATATGGAGAGGGTGGTGGTGCGCATGCGGATCCTCTGTCGGTATATGTCAGACCACTGGTTTAAGCTAACCGCATTAGCAACTCCACCACACAGCAGAACTCCTCCAGGCTGTAGAGATACAACACCCTTGTTGCAAGTCAATGATAGAGTCATGTTGCTGTTGTCCAATCAGAGGAGAGATGTCCAAATATCAGGAAAAACGACTCTTAACACCTGCCGTCTGAAGCTCAGCTGTGACATGGGTAACTTTTAGGTCTGAGATTGACTTACAAGGTATTCATTCCTACTAGAGATCTCTGCATATGTGTTGATAAAATGTGTGAACCACTCCTTTAAACATAAATGTGCTTTAAAAGCAGAACATCCACAAACGATGTAGTTGTCAGGTTTTCTAGTGACCTCTTATGGATTTCCAATTAGAAAATGATGTGCGGTTACTGTTTTCCATCAGCAGGAGTCAGGCCTGGACCGTTAATTGGAAACCTGTCTTAGACTTTGTGTGATGCGTTAATGTCCTGAACTAAAGGGTAGAAGTAAAGTAAAAATGAAAAGAGGAGTAATTCTTTTTAGCTGTGCATTTTCCATTTGTGTAAAATTCTTTTAGAATATTCCTGCTTGATTCTTTCGTACACCTGACGTCGTTTTGTTCTTTGTTCAGCAAAGACCAGCTGTGTTGACACCACCATAACAAACCTGCTGGAGAACAAGGATGAAGCTACCGGGACGTCCAACACTGGCTCCTTCTCTTCTTACTCTCCTGCAGCTATAAAGGTCTGAGGATTTTACTGTCACTGGTGATCGTGGTGTTTAGACCTAACAGTGAATGTTTCATGCTGAACATTATTTAATAAAAGTGTTTTCTGTCTTATTATTAAAGCCAGCGGCCAAAAGCTTTGGAAAATCACCGTATGACAGACATTTGTCTCTCCAACAGCGAAAGGAAGCCCTGTATAATTTTGCACGAAGGTGAGAAAATTATTAGTAAAATGATTGTTTTTTTCTCTCTCTCTTTGTTACGCAACATTCTGAAAGGGGGTTTGTAGTCTGTGGTGGCTATACGCAGTTTTTAAATGAAAATGAACATTTTTAATACAAAGTTTTATTTCTCAAAGCTTAACTGAATAATTTCCCAGGATTTCATCTGTTGCTAAACTCATATTCGACTCACAGTTAAAGCTCCACCAGTTAGTAGTGTTTGTAAACAGTTGCAGCAGTGTGCACCAGTCTGCAGCAGTTTGCATCGATTTGCACCAGTATGCACCAGTGTGCAATGCACCAGTATCCATCAGTTTGCACCAGTATGCACCAGTATCCATCAGTATGCACCAGTATTCATCAGTGTGCACCAGTATGCATCAGTGTGCACCAGTATGCATCAGTGTGCACCAGTGTGCATCAGTTTGCACCGGTATGCACCAGTATGCACCAGTATGCACCAGTGTGCACCAGTATGCACCAGTGTGCACCAGTATGCATCAGTGTGCATCAGTTTGCACCGGTATGCACCAGTTTGAACCAGTGTGCACCAGTATGCATCAGTGTGCACCAGTATGCACCAGTGTGCACCAGTATGCAGCACCCCCTCAGCGTACCGTAGCAGGGCGACAGCAACCATGAACACAACAACAACGCCCACGGATCATGGTGGTATTGAGGTTTTGAAGATATTGACTTATTTTTAGGTTAAAGGTAACTTTGCTGAAGTTGTGTAGGTTTGCTACTGGAAGGAAACTATTGTTAATAATAGGCTTATTGAAATCTTGGGTCTAAGAAAGGATTTATCACTTTTTAATGTTTTTAAGGAGTTTTTAATCTCCTATCTTTATTTGTTTCACATCCATATTAACGCCATGAGCCTCGAGGCTGATGAAAGTGGCTCCGTGACACTTTGAATCTGGCTCATGGGGACTTGACTCAGAACTGCCTTGTTCTTTGGCATTTCTGCACAGCTATCTGTGGATCTACCTGAATATCATGTCCCGCCACGTAAAGAACCGGACTTAACCGGGTTCAAACCTAGAAATGTATGAAATTAATCAGCTGTTATTTGTTGGTCTTGCTGCCCCCTAGTGGTCAAATTGTACAAATATATAACAAGAATAACTGAGCTCCAAGTCAGGGGAGATTCAGTCATTTTTCAGGAGTTTACTATAGCCTTAGACAATTTTAACACATCCAGTTGAGATTTTAGGATGTGTTCACATTGACTGTAAAGGCAGAAGGCCAAATTCTATAAACTCATTCATAACTGTGGAATCTCGTCTCTCTTCCAGACGTTACACAGAGAAGCACGGTCTGGAGCAGGATGCTGATCACTGAGCAAACGTTTGGTCAAGCCGTTACGCAAAGCTGATCAGGAAGAAGCATATTAAACATGTCTCAGTCTGCCATGAATGGGTTTTTTATTCTATCAACTGGTTCTGTTGAAAAAGCAGATTTAGTTATTTTGCAAATGTTAGCAACAAGTATTCAGAACATGTGCACATTCATGGAATGTTGGTTATGCATGTGTTTAGTTTTTAATTCTGACCGACGCATAATTTTGATAAGTTTGTACAACAACCCACTGACTGTAAATCATCTATTTATTTTTATAATGTCCAGAGTTGTTGATGAAAATAAATTTCAGCTTGACCTTGCTTTGAAGAATTCATTTCTAGCATATGTGAATATTTAAAATGCATGTCATCAAAGAATAAAACAAAGTTTATAGATCCATAAATCCAGTTTTATGCAGGATTGAGAACATGTGGATGCTTTTTATCTCCAAGTTGTCCTCATAGATGTAAAATGTGCTTATTTCTAGTGTTTGTTTGTCAAAGCTGTCACATAAGGGAGAGTAACAGTAAGTCTCTTCTCACTGAGGCTCAGCTGTCCCAAAATTCAGCAGAAAAATTATAGCATCGGATGTTTTACAGCGCTCCACAGATGTTTACACGTAAACCCACTGACCGAAGCAACATGAAAGGAAAAATCTTTGCAGACCTATTACAACTAAGACGGTAAAGTCTGATGGAAGATTGGAAGCAGGGCACTTCAGGCAAAAGGGGCAGGTGCTTCAGCGCTCTGCCTCTCCTGCACATGCCTGAGGTCCAGTGTAAAGTTTCCACATGATTTGGGGTACCATGTCATCTGCTGGCAATGGTCCATTGTGTTGTCTGAGGTCCAAGGTCAACACAGCCGTCTACCAGGAAGTTTTAGAGCACTTCAGGCTTCCTGCAGCTGACCAACTTTATGGAGATGCAGATTTCATTTTCCAACAGGACTTGAAACCTGCACACAGTGCCAAAGCTACCAGTGTCTGGTTAAGCACCATGGTATCATCACTTGTAAGTCGCTTTGGACAAAAGCGTCTGCTAAATACATAAACATCCCTGTTCTTGATTGGCCAGCACTCACCTGACCGTAACCCCATAGAATATAGTATTATGAAGAGGAAGATGCAATCTGCCAGACCCAACCATTCAGAAGAGCTGAAAGTCACATGAGCTCTCCTAACACCTGGGCGGTGACACAGATGTGCCACGCCACATTGCTGCAGGAATCTGGGCCAAAGGAGCCCCAATTAAATATTGAGTTTTGTACATGCTCATTCTTTCAGTTGGCCAACATTTCTAAAACTCCTTTTCTTTTTTTTTTCTTTTTTTTTTTTTTGCATTGGTCTTAAATGATATTCTAATGTTCTGAGATACTGAATTTGGGATTTTCCTTTGTTCTCAGTTATAGTCATCAAAATCAAAGAAATACAAATTTGAAATATTTCAGTCAGTGTAATGAATGAACCGAATATCCAAGTTTCGCTTTTTGAATGGAATTATTAAAATAAATCAAATGTCATGATATTCTAATTTTATGACCATCGTCATCTGTATATAGGCCCAGCATTTGAAAATTGCTTAGATGGGTTAAAATGGAAGAGCGGAAGAGGAAGCTGTTTTTTCCCGCAGTACCCGAACGCAGCATTCACCACACCGGATGTGACGTATTTCTTCGCAGATAAACAGATTTAGCTAAAAAAGTTAGCCATGGCAAGTGTTGAAGAGACTTCAAATGAGCCCGCGGAGGTGAAAGAAGACAACGCGTTTGATGTAGAAACCGAGGACCAGTTCGGAGGGGATTATGGAGTTGACCCCACTCAGTACATGTTTTACAGGTAGAGTTCGGTTGTTTTTCAGAGTGCTGGCTAACTTAGCATCGGTAGCTTGTCGACTGGCTGTTTAATTTTGTTCAAACGAGTTATTTGTCTCCAGTTGTAATGTCTTTCGATTATACATTTAGCTTATCCGAGCTCAGTTTTTAGCATTATTTTTATCGTGTGTGGAGTCTTAAACATTTATATGGGTAAGTAGCCTTCTGCTAAGTGTTAGCTGTATTATTTACAACACTTGGAGGAAAAAACGGGTCTAGCAGCCGTTTACTTGTAGTTCCCAATAGAAACGTGTCGCCGTATTTATTTGTTAAGTTTGCTGTAGCATCATTCCCGTACGTAAGCAGGAAATGCAGCTGTATGTTTCTGTTTCAGAGACCGGAAGGAGTGGGCTGATCTGGAGCCAGTTCCACAAGATGATGGACCAAACCCTGTAGTGAAGATCGCCTACTCTGAGAAGTGTAAGCCATCCTAAACGCCAGAGTGACACACTGGGATTATCACACGGTCCCCAACGGTCACTGCTGTGCGACAAACACGAGATTCAGAAGTTTCATCACCTAAAAACGACTTTTGTCCTCTCCAGTTTCAGATGTGTATGACTACTTCCGTGCACTCCTGAAAAAAGATGAACGAAGTGAGAGAGCTTTTGCACTGACTGCAGAGGCCATCGAGCTGAACGCTGCTAATTACACAGTATGGTGAGCACTACCTCCCTGTGGGAGAAGGAGCTTATGACTGAATGAAAGCTGAAAGGATCTTGTGTGAAGTTCACAATTAAGAATAGACGTCAGAGAGTTGCTTTGTAGAATATTTAAAACCACCCGTGTAAAGTTACACCTCATGATGTGGGTGGTTAGGGTGAAAAAGTACCTGTAACTAGGGGTGAAACGGTATGCTGAAATCGTGTTCGGTTCAGTGTTTTGAAGAGCTCTGTTTGATTAATTTCCGGTATAATATTGTGGCAGTGTGAGCGTCCTGTCAAAATGTCCCGATTGATCATGCGCCCTGGCTACATGGCCAAGGGGATGTCCCTTTGGCTGACTGGTTAGAGCGTATGACTCTCACCCGGGAGTCTGGGGATCGAATCCCGCCCGGGCCCTCGTTTATCCACCTTGCCACAATATTATTATTGTTATTGTTATTACTATTATATTTATTTAATTTCTGAAGTGGCTACTATAGTGAACAGAACCAGGTGTCATCACAGGCTGCTGATGTAGCATGTCTTTAATTGTTTCACAGGTTATTGGTGCAGCTATGAGTGTCACGCTCATACAGACGAGTTGTGTTTGACTGTTGATGCTCCGTGTTTTTATTTCAGCAGCCAGCCTTAAAAACTCACCTCACACCGCCCAGAGTTTCTTCTTTAAAACTCGTTTTAAATAACGAGCTTCCTCCGTCCGTATTTTCCATTGTAGAAGTAAAACTTTACATCAGTTGTCACAGCAGAAAAGTTTAGCAGACGTGTTTGTTTACATTTTTGCCGCTGCGGGCGTGCACAGTGTGAGAAAAGGGAGGGAGAGGCGACGCAACGCTCCGTTCAGCGTCTCCACAGGCTCCAGTAGCAGCGACGGCCAGCTGGTTTGATCCGCTCTGAGAGGCGTTGATCAGAATTTGCAGATCACCATTTTTAAATGGAGATTGGGCACGTGCAGCCATCATGCGTCACTCAATACAGCATCCATGCGGAAGCTCACCTAGGAACTTTTATCCCCTGCACTTAAAGAGCAAGTCACCCCCCTACCCCCCAGAGTATTACTCCACTCCCACTTCCTGTTTGAAAAATGCAACAAATGCTGTTGCCTAGCAGACCGAGAGGGCAGAGCCGCTAACAAACACACACACACAGGCTCACAATGACATTGTGACATCATATGGTACAAGCTAACATCCTAGGGTACCTCTTAGCCAATAACGATGGCAGATTTAAATTCAAATGCAGTGCTGAGTTTTTACCTGACAACGGCGCAACACTGACAGTTTTAGGTAGAAAAGTTAAATTTGTGCAAAACTATTGACGACACGTGTCTGCAGCACGATTAGACACGCATGTATATAGTTTATCAGAAAAAAAAGTTGATTTGGAGTGACTTGCTCTTTAAATCACACAAATAAATTAAAATTCATTATTTAACAGGGAAAAATACAAAACGGTACGCAGGTGGACCGAACTGAACAGGCAGCACTGAAACGGTTCACCACCCCACCCCCACCCCTCCCCATGTGAACGTTACACCCCTACTTGTGTACGATAAATGCATGTGGTATGGTCCCAGCTGACTCTTGATGTGGACCTGTGTAGGCACTACAGGAGAGTCCTGCTGCAGGCGTTATCCAAAGACCTGAGGGAGGAGATGAGGTACATCACCAACATCATTGAGGAGCAACCCAAGAACTACCAAGTCTGGTGAGTTATTTCCCCTGATGTGCACTCCAAAAACAGTCTTGCTGTTTCTGATGAGCAGTCCCTTGTTTAGTTGTACTGTGAAATTGCTTGGGGCAAATGTTTAAACGATGTTTTAGCCTTTTGGCATTCTGATCTTCCGTCTTGATCAACTTTAGTTTGGAGAAACAGCGTACTAATGAGAAGCAACCGAGACTAATCTGTAGCCCCAGTCTCCTATAGAGAATCCTCCAAAGATTGTTTATGAACTTTCACCTTGCGCTGGTTTTTGCATCAGTTATTTACAGAGAATATTGTGATTAACATGCATCGTTAGCCACGTTTACATGCGCACATTTAATCGGATTGAACGCCCAATCAGATCAAAAGTTCTGCATGTAAACATGTCAATCGGAATGTTATGATCCTATTCGCTCCGATTGGAATGAAAATTCAATCCGATTGATAGAGGTGGTTTTGTCCGATCGTCGTTCCGATTGACGTGCATGTACACAGCTATTCGGATTGTTGGAGTAAAATAATGCCCACTGTGCATGTGTGCAACAGCGAGCGAGCCTCCCCGCCTTCATTTAGACTACCTGACTTAAAAAAAGCACTCCTAATTAACCAGCACCACATTTTAAATATGATGGTAAGCCGTCCCCGTTTCTGTCATATCTAATCCAGAACTTGCATTTTCTGGAAGTAAAATAAAAATCTGATTATTGCACAAATCATTCAACTAACGTGTCCAAGTCTTTACTGGAAACACGCAGATTCATTTCGGGTTTGCAGCACGGATCCTGGTTTCTGTTTCTGCAGCAGGTGGATGGAGACGCGCTCGTGAAGAAGACAGGGTAACGCACCTGGTTTGGGTTTAAGGAGACTGGTGCTGGGGAGAAAAACATCCTCAGTTAAATGTTTGGGTGAATATCTGTGTAAAAGCACCATCTGTGTGGACAGGACGCATGGCTTTTCGGGCAGTGTTTAGTCCCCAGTGCAGAATTTCCACTCTGGTTCCAGCGGAGGTTTAAAGCAGTCGTCTGTCACATGAAGGTCACATTCTCAACAGCAGCAGGAAATCAATCCTCCACTGGTCCCGCAGTCAGGAGAAAGTGGGTGTTAGGGCTGCTCGATTGTGGCAAAAATAAAAATCACGATTATTGTGACTGAAATTGAGATCTCGATTTTTCAATAAATGTTGTTTTTATGTGTTTGTGCCCTGACCCGAATAAATAAACAACCAGGAGAAAAATAAGTAAGAAAAAGAAACAAGATAATCACATAAAAAACTCATGAGTATAAACAGGCTGGTATATCATAGTTTAAGTCATTTAAGCCTGACCAGTACAGACCCAAATATCCAACCAATATCTTGCAAATACTGACAGAGAATTATACAGTGGTATTTCTAACATAAAAGCATACAAACACATATGTTTTAATGACTTCACAAAATGTTTCAGAGCATTTATTTAGTCCTGTCACGACGCTGTAGGAGAGTGTACGCTAGCACCGTGTCCTCAGAGAGATTCATTATTATTCATCAGCGTGAGGAACTTATTTCTATCTATTTATAAACTATTGATTGATTTGATTTGACATTTATTTACAGGTCCCATCATGTAATAATTGTGCCAGCCACAGCGATAAGAGGGGGCCTGCAACCCATCAACCCAGTCTCACAGCAATCCAGGGGAAGCTGTGCGTGTGTTTAGCGCGCCGCATGCGCAGTCGCGCACATGTCGTCGTTTTTAGGAGTAGGGCATCGCTATACACTATTGGTTTTAGCGGCTCAGGAGCCTGCAGGTACAGTGTGTGTCACTCACTCCGGTTAATTCAAGAGGGAGCCATTTCTTTTGTGACCGACACATCACAACATCATTCCCTTTCCTAATTTCCTGGAGGCGGGATCGGAGCGCGGGCGGAGTTTTTTCTAACCTGCTGGAAATGTCAACACAGAAAGTAGCTAAGGGTTATCAGTAATGTTACTGGGGTGTCCGTTAGGTACTTTTAAGATTTAAAAAGTCAAGAAGGGGGAAATGGCAACAAAAGTTGCTAACTTGGCAACGCTGTGGGAGGAACGCTTGATTTGCACTCGGAGCAGCACAGGCGGGAGGAGCAAATCAGCTCGTTTTATTTTCATAATGGTTCAAAACTCAGATCGTGATTGGGATTAAAATTCAATTTATTGAGCAGCCCTAGTGGGCGTTAGTGACCTACTTCCAGGGGAGGCAGATTTCAGAGGAGAGACTAGTTCAGGCGGAGGAGCTGGGCCTGGTGACGCCTTTAGTGTACATCGATGCTTTTGCAGGCTTTTCCACAAATCTGAAAACTTGCAGCTGAGAAAAGAAAATGCATGAAGCAGCCAAACATGGGTTTGGGGGCAATTTTCACAACCACAAGGTAAAAAGCTCCAAATATTAGGGTTTCCTTGATATGACCCTTTGAAGTAGACTTGTTATAACTTTTGGAAAGGTTATAGCAGTCCTGCGATTGATACACAACACGATTAATTAAAGCAATCTCAGCACTTTTATCCTTGATATTTTCAGCACCTTCCAGAATAAGTCGTTTTTGGGCTCTGTCACTTTAATGTGAATAGGGGGTTCTATGCCGGGGTCCCTCCCTGTCTGTGACCTCACAATAAGGCACTGCTTGAAACGTCTTGTTTTAGGCAAATAATTCCTGGAGCTAAACCCTGGCAGCAGGACGGGTGCATTTTCATGTTTGGACTGTTTAGAGACTCATCGCAGCACAAAGGGATGCTGAACGTGAGATTTGCACAACATTCTCTGTTAACGTTTTTAGCTAAGTTATTTGCGAAATCATTGAACTGTTTTGTTTTTAAAGAGCAAGTTCACCATTTTTTTTTCTTACTTTTTTTTTTGATCGGCTCAGTCACCGAGTTTCACATGCAGGCTGAATGTAAATAGTCTTCTACCCCATTTCCTGTATTAGTCAACAAAAGCTAATAGACGGGGAAACGCTCGGATTTAAAAAGCCAGTCAGGTCTACGTCACAAAGAAAATTAACATTCATGGACTCACCCGTCCCGTCTTGACTCGTGACGGGGAAGGCTTTCGTTGGCTTAGCGTTCAGGAAACCGCAGAGAACGTCTCGACTAGTAGAAGCTAACTGTTGGCATTAGCAACTCCACCACACAGCAGAACTCCTCCAGACTTGTTATTTGTGGCGGTAAAACATCAACGTTGCAGAGCAAACCGAGTCGGTGGGAGAGTTGTGTTGCTCTTAGCCAATCAGAGGAGAGATGTCCACATACCAGGAAGTAAGACTCCCAAATCCTGCCGTGTTCTTCTCCCATCTTCTTTGGCTCGCTTCCACTTCCTGAAGCAGGAGCAACAGAGCGTTTTCTCCCCTACAGAGATCGACTCACAAAGCATTTGTTCATCCTCTCCCACCACTAAAAACGAGTGAACGTGCTCTTTGATGGAAACACATCCTACACTCACCTTATTTGAATTCAGCGACAATATTTCAGAACTTTGAAAGACGATGGATAAAACCGAAAAGCACTCGTGAATCCCGGAGTTTTGAGTTCCTTCCTGACGAGTGGCTCCTTTCAGGACATTTGTTTAACCTCAGTAGGAAGACGCTGACCTGGATGACTGAGAACCTTTCAGATGAACACCTCCGGTTGTAAATTCTTTCCAGGCATCACAGACGTATGGTGGTGGAGTGGCTGGGTGACCCCTCAGAGGAACTGGAGTTCATCGCACAAATTCTCAGCCAAGATGCAAAGAACTACCACGCGTGGCAGCACAGGCAGTGGGTCATCCAGGTAGGAGCCACGCCCACACACCAGATCCTGTTTGCTTCATGGTCACGTCCAACGCTTGCTCTTATTTATCTCCAGGAGTACAAGCTGTGGGACAAGGAGCTGGCGTTTGTGGAGAGTCTTTTGGAGGACGATGTGAGAAACAACTCTGCGTGGAACCAGAGACATTTTGTTATTTCTCACACTACAGGATTCTCAGAACCAGCTGTGGTGGAGCGAGAGACTCAGTGAGTTCAAACACGGACAGTTCGATGGTGTCCGAGTCTTCAGATTTCTATTTTTAACGACTCTGCTCATGTTTTGGAAGGTATTGTCTGAACCAGATCAGGAAAGCTCCTCACAATGAAAGTGTGTGGAATTACCTGAAAGGGTAAGATGCAGAAAATAACAGATTTAAACCTTTTTAACGCCTGAAAAGGAACGAGCTGTTCAGATACGTTTCTGCTGTGATGTTACATCTTTCCCTCTGAGTAAAGAGAACACCTGGGCGTGAGGTCTCGGTGCTCATACCCGGTGTCTGGCAAGCCACAGGGGCTTTCACAAAGTAGAGATTTAGTTATTAAAAATCAATGACAATATTTCTTCTTCTGTCTCTGCTCCCCCAAGGATGCTGCAAGACAGAGGTCTCTCATCTCAGCCAGGTCTGCTGGAAAAGGTCCTGGAGCTGAAAGAGACGCATTGCTCACCTTATCTTCTCGCTTTTCTGTTCGATTGCTACGAGGACGCCTTAGAGAACGGCGTCCCGAAGGACAGTCTGGACCAAGGCTGTCAGGAAACTTTAGAAAAGGCTTTAGAGGTGAGTGGATGAAGAACTTTTGCAGACTTGGATGCTGGAGCTAAACTTCTGCTCATCTTTTCTGATCCCTCTGCTCAATCCTGCAGATTTGCAAGCTTCTGGCGCAGGAAAAAGACACCATTCGTAAGGAGTACTGGCAGTTTTTGGGACGTTCTTTGCAGGACAGATACGGAGGCGAGGTTTCTCCTGGCGATGCTACACCTACAGCTCCAGCGTCTGAACCCCAACAGATCAGCTAGACCGCTGGGAGACTTCTCAGTCCCTCTGTCTTCTAGGCTTCGGCCACTCTTATGAAGTTTGATATTCCTGTAAACCGTTGTGGAACTCATGAGTGGTACAGATACAGCAGTCCAGCTCTGGTGCCTCTGTTGAGGTTACGTCTCTGCTTACGACGTTCAGAAGTAAGCTTGGAAATAGTTTTCTATGATCTGATTGGAGGGAATAAGCCTGTGTCTGACTGTAGAGCTGAATACTTCTAACCAAGCTAATGAAGTGGTACAGTTTGTAGTATTTCTGTTGTTTGTAAGTTTATTTTCCATGATAATAAAGGAGTTGCAACTCTGGTTCGTTCTCTGATCAGCTCTTTAGCTCTGAACGAGTCGTGTCCATGTGGATGTGTTGTTCGGGTTTGGGGTGCCGCCAGGAGAGGAAGTGAGCTTCCCGAGTGGAGCGTCGACGTCCAGAGCGCTCGTGCCCTGGACTCCCTCAGAGCTCGGAAACGGAATTACTCCACTAGATGCAGCTGTTTCTACTTCTGCCGACACTACAGCCCACCCTCTCATTTTCTACGTCCCAGCGGTGTGTAATTACAGCTCACGCTTCCCCTCGGTGTGGAGAGACCATGTTATTGGAAAGTTCACATCATCAGTTGGTGCAGCAAGACCGAGCAGGAGCGACGCGTGATGGCTATCAGCTGGCTGAAAGGGTTTCTTTTTTTTCCTGTTGTCTTGCAAAAAGAGGCTCTTACTTTGAAATCTCCGGCGCTACAGCAGATTTAACAGACTGAGTTTAGACCACTCACTGCTGATCAGACACCTGCTGCATTGTTCAGAGCACGGCGCTCCCTAGTGGTTAAACTCCGAACCGGGAAGGTGCATCCAGACTGTAATTAAAATCCTAATTAATCCCAGCCCACCTCCACATAACCGCTCTGATACGGTCTTGATTTGGTGTCTAGATGGGTTAGCTTTGTTTCTGCAATATTTTCTAATTCCTGCACAGACGCACGGGATTGACACGAGGCCGAAGCGTGCGGGAAGCTAGCCAGCTCAGCCTGGAGACATCCGCTTCTTATGAACCCATCCTGTGGCTGGAAGAAGGAGAACTGCTACAGTCCAGCACAGAGCAAGCTGTTTGTGCTTTCTCATGTTTCATAACAGGCCAGAGTAAATGCAAAATTCTGTTTTCAAATGTTAAAATCAAATCTGCAATCCAAACCAAGGAAATCGCCCCCACCCAGCTGACCAATCACTTAACTCATTGAGGTTTTTAGAAACACTCAGATCTGCAGTATTACCAGATAACTTAAGCAGAACCCGGGTGACGACATGAACTAGGGTGAAAGATCTCAAAGAGCAACACGGCACGCTCCGTTCTGAAGAAACAAAAGATCCAAGATCGTCCGAAGCGCCATGGACTTTGAAGGCCAAATCCTCAGTAGCGTGTTTACTGACCCCTAAGGGTAAATATTCTGTGTTCTGACAGGAAAATCAGAACATTCTGGAAGGTGTGCGTAAAAGGGCCAGCTCGCCGAGCTTACACAGTTTGTTACTGCGTTTATTTCATAAACAGTGACCAGCTCGGGGCCCTAGGCAACTGCCTTGTTAAACGGGCCTGCGGGGGCACATAGGAGATAGTCTGGTGCTCCCTTGTAAATGGTAAATGGCCTGTATTTGATATAGCACCTTCTAGAGTCCTGGAACCCCCCAAGGCGCTTTACAACACAATCAGTCATTCACCCATTCACACACACATTCACACACTGGTGGGGATGAGCTACGATGTAGCCACAGCTGCCCTGGGGCGCACTGACAGAGGCGAGGCTGCCGAGCACTGGCGCCACCACCAGCAGGCAACGTGGGTTAAGTGTCTTGCCCAAGGACACAATGACAGCGACAGACTGAGCGGGGCTCGAACCTGCGACCTTCCGATTACGGGGCGAGCCCTTAACTCCTGTGCCACTGTCGCCCCGCAAATGTTCATTAATCTGTGCTCAGTGATTGTTTCAGCATGTTTACTTGACAAGGTCATAACCATATTGCACTCACACAAGAACAAAGGAAGGTAAAGTTAAATCCATGACACATAATTAGCCTTCGCCCCAGATCAGAGCCTCCGGATCAAAGAAGGCGTCGTGTTTCTGAGATTCTTGGTAATATCCTCAAACTTGTCAACCTCTGGTTGGCTACACAATCATAACATGAGAACATTAAAACCAGATCACTCTGGTGATTCTTCAGTTCTAGAGAAGCTTCAGGCCGGCCACCTGAAGCAAAAACCTCTTTAACCCACCAAAGCTTTTGACACGTCGTCTAAACCTTTTTGCACCTGCGAAGCTGATACAACAAAATAGTTCCTGCAGAACAAGCTGATTTGTTCAACTCCTTAAGAGTTATTCCTGAGACCCAAACTAGTTCCAACTGTCGTTACCTGGAGATGACTCTGGACTGACCTGGTCGTACTGCAGTTAATCTACGGACTTCGGTACCTGGGGGCCTCCGACCCCCTCTGACATCTCGGATCTTAAAAGGGCGTCTCCACTTGGGTACGTAGAACACAGTGAGATTGCATCTGGATGTGATTTTGATAACAATCAACTTCATAGCTTAACGCAAACCAAATTCTTTTACATCCAGAACTCAGCTCTCCTAGATACGGAAGTTCTGACCAACATCGCATTCACACATAGGTTCATACATCACATGTAGTTCCATCCATCACAGTAAATGTTAGTTAACTTGTCATGTTTTAATTGTTTGTAAAATAAATTCTTACTTTTATAAATCTGACTGCTTTCTGAATCAAAACAAAGTGTGTACAATCCCCTAATAAATAAAGAATCCTAGAATCTTCTGATTAAAGCACAATAAAGACAAGGCAGGGTGATATTCTATATTTAGATAGAGTATCACAGCTTATTGGTCATAAGTAGAGGTACCGGTAATATATATATTGAGTTCTTTAAGCGCTCAATTTACCAAACCGTACACCATCAACCCTGCTCAATGGTCAACTTTCCTCGTGAGGGTCACACCCGTCAGGACAGTGGGAGGGTTAACAGCTGAAATGGCAGGAAAATAATGCAAAAGAAAGAAGTCGTGGCAGAAAGTAGCAGAGTGTGAAAAGTGGTCAGTGTGTCCTCCAGCAGTCTAAGGCTATAGCAGCATAACTACAGAGATAACTCAGGATAATCTATCCTATTTAGATGGAGGCATGTTGGAGGCAGGGCAAGGGAGAGCCGTCTTTACCGACTGTACACTCCACCTCCCTCTACTCCCCCACTTGTCCAGATCTAGGCTAACATCAGATTTTAACCATAGGCCCTATCAAATAAAAATGTTTTAAGCCTATTCTTAAAAGTAGACAAGGTGTCTGCCTCACGGACTGAACCTGGGAGCTGTTTCCACAGGAGAGGAGCCTGATAACTAAAAGATCTGCCTCCCATCCTGTTTCCAGTAAACCTGCAGTCTGAGAGTGACGTGTTCTATTAGGTTCCACAAGAAAAGAGTATTTAGATCATCACTTTGTAAAGTTTCTGGATCTGATTCTGGAAACAGGACTGATCTGGATTGCTAAACTGTACTCGGGAATTCTTATTGTATTTAATGGTTATATTTGCTTGTTTTATTGCTGTGTTGTTTTTTATTGGTGTACAGCGCTTTGTTTGTCCGCTTTGGGCATGTGAAAGCGCTTTATAAATAAAGTTGATTTGATTTGATTTAGATGGTCACCACAGCTACGCCACATTAACCAACACAAAGTACTTCTTGTCAGTCAATGTTACAGGTACTGATCTTAAGTTTCAAGTAATAGTAGCTAAGAGTCATTCACAACACAAACTCTAAGCTGATTATATAATATGTTGTGGTATAGCTGCAGGTGATTTGCATTCCTGAGGAATGCCAGGCTTTTAGTTACATATTGATTTGAGAAAAAATTTGTTTCCTCAAAGTTTGAGTACCTTCTCAGAAAATTACCATTTAAATGATGACAAACATGCCATTTAGAGCTATAAACTATTGCTTTGTGTCAAGTGTCAGGTGTTGATTTACAAGTAAAAGTCTTTTCTGGGTTCTTTAGAGAAACATGTTTCCTATGAGCAGCATTTTGATCAACAGCAAGCACAATATTAACCTACTCCACCTAAATAAGACTTCTTCAGAAACAAACTCAGAGATGATAAGTTCAATCCAGAGCCACAAACTAGAAGTTGGAGCTAGAGGAAGAGAAAATCACAAGCTATTAGACAGAGAAACGTGATGATTTGGTGTTCTAGCTGCTGTTAAAGTGACTGAAAGTGATCAGTCCAGCGTACTAAACACAGCCTGAGATGGTGAATGTCACAGCGTCCTCCTCAAGTCCAGGTCACGCCTCAGTGAAGCTGAAACATTCAAGAGAAGTGACAAATCATGAAAAACATTCTGTTTTCTAAGGTGCTGTAAATAACAAGTCCAGCCTTAAGTAGCACACCTCTGAGGTGCTGATGGTGACTAAACTATAAGATGCAACACAGATTTAAACCAACAATCAGTGATATGGAGCAACATCAAATTCCCGTCTGTCACACGTGTCTTTTATAGGTTCTAACATCACTTATGTGGTAAAGCTGTTTCTTCACAGACATAATTACTTATTGAGTAAGATCATGTGTGAATGAGGAGCATGCATGAATGGCTGAGACCTTCAGAATTGTTGTCCCCTGTTCTACCACTAGATGCTGTTCATACACATGATCAGAGCATAGAATCATCGTAAACATCATCATCATCATCATCATCATCACCATCGTCATTACCATCATCACCACCATTGTCATCATCATCATCATTATCATTGTGATCATCATCATTGTAAACATCATCATCATCATCAACATCATCATCATCAACATCATCATCCTCATCATCGTCATCCTCATCATCGTCAACGTCATCATCATCATTATCATTGTGATCATCATCATTGTAAACATCATCATCATCAACATCCTCATCCTCATCATCGTCATCCTCATCATCGTCAACGTCATCATCATCATCATCATCATCATCATTGTCATTATCATCATCTTCATCATCATAATCATCATCATTGTCATTGTCATCATCATCATCAGCGTCAACATCATCATCATCATCGTCAACATCATCATCATCATCATTGTAATTTTCATCATCTTTTTTTTTTTTTTACCATGTCCTGTCTGGCTGTGAAGCAAGCAGAATTGATGTCTGAATGCTGGTAACAAGCCTTACAGATTTACTCTCAGGTGGAGCATCAAAGCGTCTGCTTTTAATGTCACGCCTGATACTTAAAACTTTATTGTTACTGTTGTTGAATGCTT